ATAAGTCCTAAACAGGACGAAATGTGCGTCCTGGGTTCTAATACTAGCCATCAGTCATCTTTGTTTAGTAATTTTAAATGTTATGACTTATCAACACATATCTGTTTACTAATATATATACTTAAGATGATTACAGAACGTGAATCAATCTAAGGACATGAATTAGAATAATATAAAATATAGGCAATATATAAAAATGAAAGGTTTATTATTTGAATTAATGTGATTTATACATTATGATTTTGAGTGGTTTTCAAAGGATGTCAACTTCATGCTAGCTAGCACTCGTCAGCAAAAGGTACCAGAAATCTTAAGTGATCTAATGTCTCCATGTTACACAATTTCACAAGCTAAGACATTACATGCAAAGATGGATGGTAGTTAGTAGTGGAATCCAAGACGTGCGTCTCGTCCTATGTGGGACTCGTCAACTGGATGTACCTGCACCCGAGTTGATGTCCACTCTCGGACTCGAACTCAGTACTGTTCGCTTCAAACGCCATCGCGTTATCCATTCAGGTAATGATTCCTTATAGACACTTGCTTGTGCAATGGAGTGAAGTTTAAATTCACTTGATATTGTTTATTTGAATCTTCCCATTCGCCTAAGACATTACCACTCAATTATTCAGAACGGGACTAATCTCCTGCTGGATTGATAAATCTACACTAATTTCCCAATAGATGGCGACCAGTGTGATATTTGATTGAGCCTTAATTTTAGTCGAAATCTATAGATCAATTATACAATTTGGTTATCCTACCGATAGAAAGGACATTGTTTGGTGGACGCTACTCACTAGATTGTTAGTAAATAGTTTGTTGTGGAACATGGCCTTGAAGTTGCCATAGTCGTTAGACGAAGGGGAGGATTTCGGTAAATCAAAAGCACAGTTTAGGAAAAACACTTGATGAACAGATGAGAACATAGAATCTCAAAACACACTACGAAATTCAAATCGAAGGCTGTGTATACGCATGACGTAGACACTTAGTAATTTCTCTTACTAATCAATCTTTCTGCCTGTTGACTCGTTATACATTGAATGTAACAGCATTCCTTTATTTGTCAACCAGTTCTTAGACATAACTTTACAGTAGTATTTGAATACTGGAATTTGCAACAAAATTATTGTTAGCCAAGTTTTTTATAGGGTACCTAGCCTGTCGTATACCCTGATAGTGTTCTCGCAAATTTTTCCGGTTGTCTGATCTTCCAAGAGCGATAGGACAGTGCACAATGATATTGTTTTGTGCTGGGTTCAAAGAGAATCGTATGCTATATGCATGCGAATCCGCCCCGTTATTGTTCCTATTGTAATTTTTTTATAATTTAAAAAGCATTATATGACATATTATTAGCGAAAAATTCCAAGTTCATAAAGAAAATGGTCTCATATCTTATGTCGAACCCTTCAGATAATAGCTAGTAACTCTCCGATTGAAATACAGGTTTTGTTATAAATATCCATTTAGATCCACGTACGGAAGAATTATACCGCCTGTCGATTTAATTCATTAATTTTCAAATGATTTCAATGTGAAAGACAGACGAGATAGGCTAAAGATAGTTCTCCTGTACAAAGAATATGAATAATAGGTGAGATTATAATTTATGGACGACCTTTGAGCGACGTTAAAGTGATCTTGATAGTGTCCACCCAATAACCAAGAGCAAATGAGGGTTATTAACCTGTGTGAGGAATTGGAATTATGATTAGGGTTAGGAATTAGATTAGGGTTTTCACCACGAACTAACATCAGTTATAATGCCAAAACTCTATTTAGCCAAATAAATGGGTGAATTTGGCGCCAAAATTCGAGACCTGTTATCTTATACGTGATTGGTTCATCCATAATATACAGTCTCGCCGAATAATCTCCTCTCTGTAATTTTGGCATAAGTTTCAAACAAATAAGCATGTTTATGATTTGGCTTATCTTTACCTGAACTACATATATGTTCATCATTTCATTAAAATGTTAAAATTACCATTATTGGTTATAAAATCAATATAAATTATATGCCTTTGAACTACTACTTAGTAGTATAGCAAATAACTTTTAAAAAATCGGTCTCAGATATGGATTGTGACCCATTTGAATCTGTTTGAGCACATGGGTAATAATAATTATTATTTCAAACTAGAAAAACTGATCAGAAGCCAAAGTGTATACAACGAGTTGTATTACAGTTTTGTTTTAAGTTGTACACAATTATATAATAATGTCAAATAGAAAATATGAATTACGGCTAACAGCAGAATTCGTCCAATATGGGACATAACAATTACATGTACTTGCATTTCGCTATTTATATTCATACTAAAAACTAATCTGTCTGTTTAAACAATAATGATTTATTCATTGACCTATTGAGTATTAAGAGCTATTATCATTTTCAAAAGATATAGAATCGTTTATAGATACCCATCATACTAAAAGACTTATATGTGAATAGATATAGAATAATTTGTAAGTTTCTATCCGATAATATATCATAAAATGTACTTACTTACTTAATTACTTACTTCCTTGCTTACTTACTTACTTCAACACTTACTTACTTACTTACTTACTTACTTACTTACTTACTTACTTCCTTGCTTACTTACTTACTTCAACACTTACTTACTTACTTCCTTGCTTACTTGCTTACTTCAACACTTACTTACTTACTTACTTCCACACTTACTTTCTTACTTACTTACTTACTTACTTGCTTACTTCAACACTTACTTACTTACTTCTATTTAGAACTTTTATTTTATCTCTTTTTTTCTAGACAAAAGCATATTATGATATGACATGTAACATAATATTCTTTCAATCAAAATATCAACTTAATACGATTAAAAAATTGGTTGAATTTAGACATTAAAAGCATTGGATACGGGCATAGTGATCTAGAAGTTTGGCGTTTATATGCGTGATCGATGGTTCTTAGTTCGAATCCCGAGAGCAAGATCTGGGATGTGCACTACTGAGGAGTCTCATAGTAGAACAAGACAGCCCTTCATGTTTTCTATGATGGTTTAGCTTTAATTAACTCATTTTCACATCTCTCTGTATGTATGTGTGTTTGTGTAGTTCACGAATTTCTTCTTGGAAAATAATAAATAATAAACCTACTTAATAAGGTTTTGATATTAATTCATGAACTGATTCAATTTAGGTTATGTATTAAAATGAAAATTGTGTCCTTCTAATTAAAAAAAAACAAAAAAATAATAAACGTCAAGACCTATTACGATCAATATTGACCAACAACCTAAAAGTGTTCCAGTACATGAAAATATACATTTAGGTCGAAAGTAATTTACTTGGGTTGTATACATATATAACTCAATAAAAGGATAAAGAAGGGAAATATATATATGATAACCTAATTGTTCATTAATGGAATTGATGATTTAGCTTACGTGACAATGTATGTTGTTTGTTTATTTTTCAAGTTGCGGTTAACCTCATCAAGTATATTGTTAACAGCTTTTTCAGTTTTTATTTTTGTGTGTAAATTATAGAAAGGGGGAACTAACTGAATGATAAATAGGTCATGTTAAACTATAAAACTATATTGCCTCAACAACAACAACAAAAATATTTAGATTGATTATTTTGTAAAATCTCTACAAAATCTCTTCTGATATTATTCAACATATGATCACCAGTGACTGACTGTAAGAGGTATTACATGGAGTTCTAGTGAGAAGCATTGATCAGTGGAGTTCAACCGGGTCTGTCATGAGATAGTAGCCCACTAATGACAATGTTGGATGTGTGGCTCAATTTCATGGATTAGTTGAAGTTAGACACTAACACCGCTGGATGCCGGCCAGCTTAGTTGTCTAGTGGTTAGGCGCTCGTGCGCGAGACTGATAGGTCCTGGGTTCAAATCTCACGGAGAGCGGAATCGTGGATGTGCACTACTGAGGAGTCCTGTAATAGGACGAAACGGGAGCGCAATGTCTCCAGGCTTTCAATGGTGGTCTAGCTTCAGTTGACTCATGGTCTCAACTATTAAGATTCTCGGAAATTGTTAAGTGAGAAAAATGAAAATTAAATAATACTCTAGAATATCTTAGTATATGCTAAGATATCAGGTAAATAAAGATTGTTTTCTTTAAATATTTACATTCAAATATTATTTACTTATGCTTGTTATCCCCAATAGAGTATAGGCCACCGACTAGCATTCTGCAATCCACTTTGTCCTGGGCCTTCCTTTTCAGTTCTATCCAATTGTTATTCATTTTTCTCATGTCTGTCTCCATTTCTCGGTGTAATGTGTTCTTTGGTCTTCCTCTTCTCCTTTACCTTTGAGAAACATTCAAACATTAGAAATACTAAAACCAATGCTAAAATTAAATATATTTGGATAGTATCACTTAAAGCAATAAGATCTTGTGACTCAATTGAAGCGCTAGCTTAAATTCTTGAATCTCTTACTTCTAACCTATAGTAGGGCGATGATACTCGAACACTGTTGGGGAGATTCATTCAATAAGGAAACAACTACTCATCGAGTGACTGGGAAATCAATACCTATTTTAAAAAAAAAACACATTAAGTTTATATTTGTCATAGACTGATAACAACTTGGAGATTATTAAGTATCAACGTTTTCAGGACAGCTGGTTGGTCTTGATTTGAAACAACTCAGTTGTATAGATATATAGTTCCATCAAGGTATTGAAATTAGAATTTCATAAAGAGAACTAATTTAAAATTAAATTAATGTCCATGACACTTTATTTATTTTTTTGATTGAGATCATGAACCGATTGATGTGAGACCACCTTTCGATGCCTCGAAGTACTGGACGGCCGTTTCGTCCTATTGTGAGACTCCTCAACAGTGGCCATCCACGATGGTCTAACATCAATCGGTTCATGATCTCAATCAAAAACTTAATAATCTCCACAACCCCTAAACTTTATTTATGTTTTATACTCTTAAAGCTAATTTTTACATTACTTCTTTGGTATATATATTTACAGGTATGATAGTTGGTGCAATGTGTGCAATTACTGGTGTTATGACTATCTCTCTTCCAGTTCCTGTTATTGTATCAAATTTTTCACGTTTTTATACGCATACACAAGCTCAATCTAAACTTCCAAAACGTAGAAGACGTATTTTACCAGTTGAAGCAGTTCGACCAAAAACTTGTAGTCAAGTTCCACCACTTAATTCTTCAGTAAAATTAAAGAATAATTTTGGTGTTATACCACCTGGATTAGCACGTAATTTCAATTCATCAAATGATTCTCCTATACGATTATCATCAACTGGTGAAAGAAGACATCATTTTCCAGATACAACTTGTAAAATAACAGGTAAATTATTTCTTAATGTTTGTACTGAAATATAACACAAAATCTTTATGCTTGAACCTGAATATAGTAATTCCGTTTAGAGTAGTGATATATATATATATATATATATATATATATATTAGATGGTGGTTGGAGGTAGTCGACAGGAAACCCTGAACCGGAGTTTCGTGCTACTTGGCACTCGTCAGCAACGTGTACTTGCAATCCTGAGGGAACTAGTGCTCTCTGGCGGATCTGATCCCGTGCCACCCAGCTTCACAGTCAGGGAGGTTACCACTGAGCTGTCCGGGCCGCGACCGACCTCCTGTAGGACTGAGATGTAATCACAATTGATTGATCACTGCGTCCAGGGTCTCCTGTCGACTACCTTTAACCATCATCTATTCTCAATATATAGTGCACGCAGTGTCGAGTCACCTAAACTGGTGGCCACATTGCAACATGGCCGATAGCATTCGATCTGCACTAAATAAGGACTTGACACACATGACATTGATCGCTACCCAGTGATCAATCAACTGTGACATATATAAAGTATTTTACACGTTTTTGGAAAGGTGGATACCATACCAGCAGTTCAGTTTAAGACTTAGAAGTTCGGTGTCCGACCCTTGACAAGGTTATAGATACGTATTACTGCGGAGGCCCATATAAGGACTTATGAGTTGCCCAGTTCTTCATAGTTTATAATGGAACTATAACTGAAGTTGATCGCTGACGAATGCTATCTATCATTTAAATCAGTCTTTAAAAAGAAATTCTTCATAAAGGATTAATGAATTGAATTTGTTTTGACATGGTTACATGAATCTTAACTACCTTCACTTTCACTAGTGTTGTGTTGTGTTACCATTCCAAGATCTCAACATTTTCCCAGTTGAATGTATGTATCATTCTCTTGAAAACCTCTCACTTCATATCACTTGTTACTTGAAACTAAGGAAAATAAAACGTTGAACAGTTGTTGACTAACATTTAAATGATCACGATATTCATCATGGAATGTATCGTTATAAAAAGAGTGAAAAGTGAAAATATATTGATCGTTAAAAGAAAATTACGTAATATTATTGATTATTATAATTTTGGTTACATGTCATGGCATTTATCTAAAACATTTGTTATGTGAGATGTTGGAGAAGATTTGTAGCTCAGATGGATGATTTTGGTTGAGTTTTGTTCTCTGAGCTGGATGGTTTGGTCGTGTTCCAGCTAATCCTTTTTGACGATGACGAAGGTGTCGTCTACGTAGCGAATCCAAATTTTGGGCTTGATCACTGGTAATATCGTGGCTTCTAGTCTTTGCATCACTGCCTCTGCGATCAGTCCTGATATTGGTGATCTCATTGATGTCCCTTTCGTTTGTTCGTGGATTTTGTTGTTGAATTGAAAGTATGTTGTTAGGAATAAATCGATGAGTTCCAGTAGACTTTGAATTTGAAGCTTCGTGTGGTTAGTGAGATTTGTGTCGTTGCTGAGCAACAGGGATATAGTTTTCTTTTGACCGAACCATCCAGTTCAGAGAACAAAACTCCACCAAAAACATTTGTTATATCCCGATGTGAATAATGAATGGTAGGTTTTGGGATCTATTTCTGGACTAATGCTATACGTATATTTTTATTGTATAATTGTTAAGTGACTAAACTATTCATATTCATGTTCCTATTATCATAATCTTTACTTTGACCTGTGAACTGTTATTATACGTTTTTCCATTCTTGAATTTTACCCAGTCGGTCAGTTACTACCTCTCATATTCACAGCCACTTTTGGCCAAATCTTATAGAGATGTTGTTTCCCATTTTATGCTACGATGTGGTCTGTCTGGTTGGTATATGAACCTAGTGTGTTTGAAATATAATGATTCATATTGCAGTGGCTGAGATTGATGTTCTGCACTGAATAGGCAGGGCTAGGAAGAAAGCAGAACCGATAAGGGCTGTGGACTGCTCGTACGTGTTTATGCGTCATTGATCCAGTCGATAAATCACTGTTCTCTAATTGGCGTTATCATCATGTTATACATCAACAGGGCACACAGGGCATAAGTTATAACAAATTAATAAGAATGAGCATAATTTTATTGAAGAAAATTTTCTTATTAATGATTTCATTTCATGAGGCTAAACAACCATCTATTATGTTGTGTGTTTTAGGCCAGTTTAATATGATGTGACTTATTCACCAATCGGAATACGTCTTATACAATCTTAGTAATGTGTTAAGCCAATGATGTTCGACTGGTATGAGCAGCCTAATGTCCTTATTGATCCCTTATTGTATTGTATCTTTCTATTGTTATTTGGGACTGCAATTGGTCAGTCTCATGTTGGCATATGTGCATCCCATGTGGATTGCTTCTATATAGTCTTACGTTACAAGCTTTTTAAGCAAAGATGGATAGTAGCTAGCAATCGAATTCAAAAAACTACTACTAATATGTACAACGGATGTTCAGTTCCAATTTAACAACACCATATATCGCCAAGTCGATGGCGTAGCAATGGGTAGTCCACTCGGTCCAATTATGGCAGATATTTTTATGGGGTATCTTGAAAACACGATACTTAAACAGGCAATTAATGAAACAACCGAATACTCCAGATATGTGGACGATACATTTATTATCTGTAATAATAAACAACATGCAATCCGCCTGCTCAAACTCTTCAATAACGCTCATACTAACATACATTTTACTATGGAGCACGAACAGAACGACATGTTCCACTTTCTTGATGTTGCCATAAAACGAAGGAGAGACGGGACAGTTCAACGCTCAATTTATAGAAAAAGTAATTGGAATGGCCTCTACCTAAATTTCAATAGTTTTTGTCCAATTAGTTACAAGAAGGCGTTGGTTAAAACACTATTTTACAGGGCAGAAAAGATATGTACCACCGACAAACTGGAAGAAGAATTAATGAACGTAGAAAAATGTCTAAAAGAAAACTTTTATCCACAAAAGTTTATTGACAAATATAAAAGGCCCAAAGAAAAGAAGACGGAAATAACTATGGTCAATAAAAAACCAGTATATATAAATCTTAACTTTAAAGGTGATGACGTCGCACAAATTATCAACAAGAGACTGAATACAGCGATAACCAGAACTTATCCGGCTGCTAAACTTTTAATTCTCTATAAAACAACATGTTCAATAACTCAATCAAAGATCGACAAGCAACCCTTTCAGGTTACCGCCAACTGTATTTATAAATTTACGTGTACCTGCCAAAGCAGCTACATCGGCCGAACTGAAAGGAGAGCATATCTTAGATTCTTTGAACATGTTCCAAAAAGTCTTAGAACAAGGGAAAGGAAGACTCTGAACAGTGCAATCACCAAACATCTCCTTGATACAGGACATCAGGTAGATACCTTACAATCCTTTAGGGTGATTAGTAAGCAGCCAAACTCCAGTCTTCTGAAGTTTGCTGAAGCCATTGCCATCAGGCGTCAAAAACCTGACCTATGTATTCAAAAGGAGACGGTGGTTAATCTTTCCTTGCCCTGGTGACAAATATTCCTTCACTACACCATAAAATTTCATTTTATTTTATTTTTTTTTCTCTTTTGCATTTATTACATCATTGACTCTATTTTATTTTTTCAACTATCTTTCAAATTAATAATCTTTCAACTGAACTCTACTCACTACATTCCTTCAATGTTATTCATTATGTAATCGATTGTTTCTAACCCACTTTTGAACTGTTGTCACAATTAATGTTGTAGAATATTCTTTCACATTAGGTATATATTTACAATATTCAGTTAGCAATTTAAACCCATTATGTAATTATGATTTTTAAATATCACAGGTTGTAAGCAGCTGACGAGAACCTACGAAATAAAATGAATTCATGCTATTCTGCTAGAATCTTTGTTCTTGCTCTTTTCAATCGAATCCAGTTTGACGCGCATTTCGTCGGATTTCAGACTTGTCACCTAGATGTACCTGGATCTCGTAGTTGATGTTCACTCCGGGACTCGAACCCGGAACTGTTCGCTTCAAAGACCATCTCGTTATCCACTTAGGTACTGAGTCCTGAGTGAACATCAACTCTGAGATGCAGGTACATCCAGCGAACGAGTCCCAAATACGACGAAACGTGCGTCCTGGATTCCACTACTATCCACTATCCATCTTTGCTTAGATATTTCAGTTTTGGAAAAAATCGTTTAACGATTGGCCTAGCAAAGTCAATAAGTAGTATAGTGGCACGTCGATGGATTGAACTGACGACTGAGCTTTACCACAATTACAATGAAGCTGAAAATGTAGACAAATATATTTCAAATCAATAATTAAAAAATGTCACGTCTATAATGAAATAAATAAAGATTTTTTTTACAATTCCGGTTAATACTTGTTAAGGGGGTAACAAAAACGTTTCTACCATTCATTTACTATTCTTCTGTTTAAACTACAATAATAATAATCTTGACTATATTACACAACAGCAATTTCTTTTTTATTGACTTCCATTATGGGTAACTTCTGTCAACTATAAATGGACTAATGCTATGCATATATTCTCATGGTATAACTATTCAGTAATTAGATTATACATATTCATATTCATCTTAATATAAGCTTCATTTCGACCTATAGACTATTATGATATGATTGACTGTTCTTAAATTATACTCAGTTTATTGATTACAGTCTCATCACAATCACTCCCATGGCCACTTTTTGACTTGATCTTGTATAAAAGTTATTTGTTATTTGATGATGAGATGCGGTGTATTTGTCTGGTATATAAACCGAGTATGTTTTGAAATAAATGAGTCACATAATGGAAGCTGTTATTGACGTTCTGGATTTAACTGAACGGGGTCTAGGCCAACAATAATGGATCAATAAAGATATTAGGCTGCTTATACCAGTCGAACATCACTGGTTTAACACAGTATTAAGATTGTATAAGTCATATACTGACTGGCGAATAAATCTGCTAGGTTTGAAGCGGTTACGAGTTCACTTAGACTGCAAAAGGAACAAAAACTCGTGACCAAAGACCAATAAACTAGCTATTCTATTGCGTCCTAGTCCAGCTAACCAGAGAGAGAAGTCAAAATCCAAACGGGGAACTATATTCCACAAAAAGCCAGAACCATGAGCGAGCGATAAAAACAGACACAAATCAAAACGTATATATACAGCACAAAACCATCCTTGGGAAGCGTTACAAAACTGAATACTAAAAGACACAAAGGACCAATAGCATTTAAGATTCTCACAAATGGGTAATATGACATGAAGGTGAAAATGAGCGCTTTTAGCGCGAAAACAAAGAAATTAAATTTTTCAAAATAAAATTACAATATTGGGTCCTTTTCCAAATAGGTTCAAGGGATCTAACGTCCCCAACAAAGTCACATGATAACTAAATGGCCTTCAAATCATAACAACCATAACGGTTATGAAATCTTCAATATTGAACTATTCATCTTAAACTTACTTACTTACTTACGCCTGTTACTCCTCGTGAAGGAGCATAGGGCGCTCACCAGCATTCTCCATCCAACCCTGTCCTAGGCGCAATCCATTCCAGCTCCTTCCAGTTGTTATTCATTCTTTTCATGTCTGCTTCTATTTACCGACGTAATGTGTTCTTTTAACTTCCTCTTTTCCACTCCCCTTCATGATTCCAAGTTAGCACTTGCCTCGTGATGCAGCTTGATGTTTTGCGTGATATATATCCTATCCGCCACATCCAACGACTTTTCCTAATTTCCTCTACAGCTGGAAGCTGGTTTGTTGTCTTACACAGAAGGCTATTGCTGACGGTATCCAGCCAATGGATGTTGAGTATTTTGCGTAGACAACTATTTATAAATACTTGTATCTTCTTGATGATGGTTATAGTAGTTCTCCAAGTTTCAGCTCCATATAGTAGAACTGCCTTGACGTTCATATTAAAGATTCTCACTTTGTTACTGGTTGAAAGTTGTTTGGAGTATTCATCTTAAACTATTTCACACTGTTAGAATCGTTCAATGAATAAATTTCTTATTGTTTATTCATTTCTTTATTTGACAACTTTTTTTTCTTATAGAATTTCTATTCTACTCAACAAAAAAAATCGTTTCAGACAATTTTCACCTTGTATATTATTGATTCCATATGATTTTTATTTAATGAGATTTACAAATAGTTGCTAGGTTGGTTAGTTGCTTGGTCGGTTGGTTTTGGGGTGGGTGGTTGATTGTAATCTTTTTATTCTTTCTTAAATGATTTCAAAGAAAATATTCAAAAGATTGCGGAATAATGTAGTTTTTTTTGTAATATACATAGTATAATATAAATGTATGTTAAAGCGGAAACGGTTAGACAAAAGTACATATATATATATAACTTGTCATAATTCTCAACTGAACATTGTGTATTAATACAACTTGTACAATTGGTTGTCATTTATTTTCCGTCTTATTTTCTTCTTTTTTTTGTAACTATGACTTTGCTTTTTGTTGTTGTTGTTGTTGTTGAGGATGCTGTGTGAATGTTAAATTTCATTATTGTGAGTTGACCTACTCAATGTGCATTTACGAATTCATCTGCTCCTGTAAAGATAGTTATATTAGCCGTACTACCAGGCAACTTAACCAACGAATGAGTGAACATGGTTTCTGAGTTGCTTACTTACTTACGCCTGTTACTCCAAGTGAAGGAGTATAGGTCGTCCACCAGCATTCTCCATCCAACCCTGTCCTGGACAATCTTTTCCAGCTCTTCCTAGTTGTTATTCATTCTTTTCATATCTGCTTCTATTTATCGACAACATGTGTTCTTTGAACTTCCTATTTTCCACTTACTTTCAGGATTACAAGTTAGCACATGCCTCATGATGCAGTTTGGTGATTTGCATCATGTATGTCCTATCCAACACTTCCAACGACTTTTCCTAATTTCCGCTTTAGATGGAAGCTGGTTTGTTCTCTCACACAGAAGGCTGTTGCTGATGGTAGATGAATTTTCGATAATGTTCTCCTATCTACACTTTTGAACGCATTTTCACGAATGATAAAGCTGATTGTTCGACGATGATCCGTAGTGTCGCAATTTGGTCTGTGCACGACCGATCCTTACGGAAACCAGCTTGTTGATCTCGAAGTTGGGCGTCTGCTGCATCCTTCATCCGGTTCAGCAACATTCTGTTGAGGACTTTCCCTGGTTCTGACAGTAGTTTGATGCCTCTGTAGTTTTCATATCTGCTCAGGTCTCCTTTCTTTGAAATCTTGATGAGGTATCCTTCCGTATCTAACCTTTGTTGTCCAGCTTTGGTCAAATGGGTTTTGCTGATTCCCAGTACTTCCAATTTGTATCTCCTCATTTCCATTGCTATTTGACTGATCTTTCCGGTTTCCCGAATTTTCCGAATGTTCCATATGCCTATAAAAATCTTTGATCTGGTTGTTAGAAGAGGCATCAGCCTCCTGACTTCTAAAGGGACTCAGCTTCCACTATGAGGCGTCATAGTTCTTCTAAATGAAAGCCTTCTGACTCCCAGGGCAGAGTTTAAATGATTTGAATTATTTTTTTCTGGTTAGCGTTTTTTCAGCGAGTTAGTTTGCTACGGGATGGGTTCGCTAACCCCATGCCCAACTCTCCTCCTTTACGCGGGCTTGTGACCGACAGTAACTCTGGAAGAGATACAGGCGGAGTTCATGATTAGAGTAAAGCCTGATGACGATCTAACTGAAAACAATATTGTTCGTTTACATGTATTATTCTAATTTATTTATTTATTTATTCCTAACATTTAGATAATTCATCTAATGAACAAACCATTCTTAAACCATTAATACCAAGACGTGGAGAAATTCCATTATTACCTAGAGACAATTTATCACAATATCAAGCATCTATGAATTGGCCAAAATCATCTATTATTAAAGAAACATCAACTGGATTTATTTCACAAACATCATTAGAAACAAATTGTTTATTAATAAATAATGAAGAAAAAGATCAAGTCGCAATAAAACAATCTAATAAACATCAATTATTTGATAATATAATTCGTAATACAAATATAGTCAATCGTATAGAAGATGAAAATAGTTATAATAATACTGGAGATATTAAAAATCAATATTTACCAATATCTAATGTTTGTCCCAATACTTTGATCGATAAAAATTATAAACTATCAAAGAATACTACTAATAATAATATAAGTAGTAAAACGAATAATGATGAAATTTCTTATTCAGAAAATATTAAATTATCATATATAAATTATAAAACACCATGTTTTTCATTTGATGAACATAATAATATAGAAGGAGAGAATTATTTACCATCCGATAATAGTTTAAATCAATTAGAAGAATTATTAACATTACGTAATAATAATAATCAATATGAAATTACACCACCACGTTTATCATGTGTATCTGGGGATAAATTAGAATGAAATTTATTACGGGTTCAAATGCACCAATATAATTTCTATTGTAGGATATGGATGTACGTTTGTATATATATGGATTGGTATAATTATACTACTTATTAATGAAAAGCCATAGAATTGTGTTCAGTCAAATATTCTGATTCATTTTTGTTGAATATTCAAGTGTATTTAGTAACCAAGCAACAATAGGTAATTCATCATTATTATTATTATTATTATTATGTAATACATCCTTGTTAGGAATGATTGGATGAAACGATTGAAGAGATTCATTTATTAGATGCTTATTTACAACAACAACAACATTAACAGCAACAAAAATGACAGAAAGGAAACCCATTTGAACAGTGATTTAACTTATTCTATCGTCTATAAAACTATGATGTAATTATATCAAGTAATGTTTTGTAATGTATTCAATGAGTAATGAAAAAACAAAACAATTTATATTTTAATCAATACTTTATATTACATTATTATTCATTAAAGTTGAAAAAATGAGCATAGAAGAGGTTTTGTGGATATTTTAGTAATTTATTTAATAGTTGAGATCATGATTCAATTAAAGTTAGATCACTATGGAGAACCTGAAAGTACTAGATGACCGTTTTGTTCCAGTGTTAGACTTCTCAGTAGTGTGCATACACAAACCCACTTCGTGAAATTCGAACAGAGGATCTATCAGTGTTGTGCGTGAACGCTTCAACTCTAACCAGCCGGCATCCATGGGTGTTAATGTCTAACTTCAACCAATCCACAATTGTCATCAGTGAGTTACTATCTGACAACAGACGAGGTCGAACTCCACTAGTGACTGCTTCTCACTAGAACTTTAGGAAATACCTCTTAAATCCAGTCACTAGTAGGCATGTGTTGATTAATGTCAAAACGTGAATGGTTAGTTCAGTCGCTTCAGTTTTTCACATAAAATATGAAGTACTCAAAAGAAACAGTTTTGTTTTCATCTTTTGCTAAAATGTAATTCAAAAAGAGTATTGTTATAACTTATGAACCTGTGTGCTCTGTTTATTGTATAACACAACGATACCCTCAATCAGAGAGCAGCGAATTATCGATCGAACTAGTGACGCATAAAACACGTGCCAGCAGCTTAGAGTCCTGATTGGTCCTGTTTTCGGCCTAATCCAGCCAGTTGAGTCCAGAACGTCAGTCTCAGCCTCTGCAATATGAATCATTTATTTCAAATATACTGGGTTTATATACAAATTAAACAGACCACAACGTGGCATAAAATAGAAAATAACATTTGTACAAAATTTGACCAAATGTGACTGTGAATATGGGAGGTAATAACTAGTAGACAGGGCATAATCCAAGAATGGTAAAATGTATAATAATGGTTCATGGGTCAAAATAAAGCTTATAATAAGCGAAACATGAATATGAATAGTTTAATAACATAACAATTATACGATAAAATTATACCCATAGAGTTGGTCCATAAATGGATCCCAAAAATTACCATTCATTATGCTTATCGAGATATAACAAGTGTTTCTTCAGAAAATGGGGTTTCACTATTCTAAATGAAACCAAACTTATTCGTTTGCTTAAATATCAATATTTAAAAAAGCACTGGGAAGATTTGAATTTCACAGATGACTTAGCCCTACTATCCCATACACACGAACAAATGTAGCTGGAGACAATTAATGTGGCAGCAGCTTCTGGATCAGTAGACCTCAGTATATACAAACGAAAAAGCAATATACTCAAATACAACACGGACAACATCAATCAAGCCAATCACACTTGATAGGGAAACTCCGAAATAAGTGGAAACGTTCACGTATATGAAATGGTCAGCATAATCGACGAAAAAAGAGGATCAGATGTAGACGTAAAGGCGAGGATTGGTAAAACAAGGGCTGCATTCTTACAATTGAAGAACGTATGGGACTCAAATCAACTGTGAACCAATATTAAAGTCAGAATTTTCAATAGGAAACCCAAGACAGTCCTACTATACGGAGCTGAAACGTGGAGAACTAATACAACAATCATCAAGAAGGTACAAGTATTTATAAATAGCTGTCTACTCAAGATACTCAACATCCATTGGTCGGATACCATCAGCAACAACCAACTGTGTGAGAGAACAAACCAGCTTCCATCTAAAGAGGAAATTAGGAAAAGTCGTTGGAAGTGGTGGATAGGACATACATTATGCAACTCACCAAACTGCATCATGAGGCATGTGCTAACTTGTAATCCTGAAGGTAAGTGGAAAATAGGAAGTTCAAAGAACACATGTTGTCGATAAATAGAAGCAGATATGAAAAGAATGAATAACAACTAGGAAGAGCTGGAAAAGATTGTCCAGGACAGGGTTGGATGGAGAATGCTCTTTCACGTGGAATAACAGGCGTAAGTATTACAGGAGTTAATGTTTGAGGGACGAACTCTTGGAGTTCTGGTGAGAAACCATTACCAGTGGAGTTCAATCATATGGAGAATGTGTGATAGTTCTCCGATACATGTGGTAGGAGATGATTGCATATTATCTCAAACTAATTGAAGTTAAAGATGCAAAGAACTAGATAGCAGCTTAGTGGTCTATAGGTCCAGCGCTCATTGCAGAACCTGAAGGTTTTTGTATTCGATTCCTGGCTGTGGGATTTTAAATGGTCACTGATGAGTCTTGTTCTAAGGAAACAGTCATCCAGTGCTTCTTGGTTCTTAATGCGGTCTAACTAAAAACAAATCGTGATTACAACTATGAAAATAATTGTTTGTAAATTTATAACTTTGATATTGAAAGAAGTTGGAGGCAACCAATAATAGTAATGAAAGTAAAGAGTTGGATGTTTGTTATTCTAATCGCGTTAAATCGAATATCAAGAGCAAGTGTAGTAAACGCAACTCATAAGATTGTTCGTTGGTAACATGTAGTGGAACGTTTTGTCAAGTTTTCAACAATTGTCGGATACAGTGAAAAGTTTCAGTACATCTAAAGCATAGCTTAAGCAGAACACTTGGAAGTTAGTTGAGAAGATAGTTCAGATTGCAAAACACATAGGAAGATTAAAATGAACGAATGAAGGCTGTGCATACGTATTATGTAAATAGTTTGTAACTTCTCGCGAACAAGATGCATACGTTCTGCCTGTTGTCACCTTTTACACAAGTCCTTACATTGCACGATCATAATAAAAATACTTTGAGTATTTCTTACATCATGGACAGATTTTAGTTAGACAACTATTGAAATCCAGAGAATATTGGAAAGCCGCTTCATCCTAGCATGGGACTCCTGAACAGTTGACACTCATGAGTGTGAAGATGCCACAGGTATATGGAGTTTGACAACGCTTTACCCAGCAACACCTACTATGAATCGTACCCACCAAGTGAAATCAAAAGACAGAAGCGAGGAGGTTCAAAGATATATTTGATTGGCTATCAATATATTGAGAATCGACTGATCTAGATTGGCTAGCGATTTCAGGGGTTAATGAGCACGGCGTTTCCACTCGTGATCTGGTGCGGATGCATGGCCGAGTGCCTTCAGCTAAGTGAGTCCTTTAAAACTAACATGGTCAGCATCCAATATTAAAAACTTACAGAGCTATTTATTTTGGGGATTTATTTACCGCTACAAGTGTATGACCTTTGTTGTGACGTGTAAACGCTTAATCACTAAACTATTGAGTCAGTATCAAATTTTGTTTATATTTAACTTCAACCAGTTTACACTGTCACCCTATTATCTTTAATTCTTTGAGATGTAAACTGAAAAAAACAAGGTTAAGTAATGATTACGTAATTGTTTCACTTTGATTCAATATGAGCACATGAACAAATATTGAGATGATTTAGCAAACTAAGATAAAGTAACTATCTAGTGTTCTATATATCTTAATAATTCTCCACCCTGTATCAGTTTATAACGGAAATAATTATTGTAACTGTGGGAAACTGATACTTGAGATAAGAGAATACTGATCTATACAACAGATAAGAAAGAAGTTTAAAACTGATTCCAGATAAGGATTTTACTAACTCTTCAATAGCAACAAAAAAAACAACAAGAAAAACGACGATTTTAACCAAAATACACTAATTTATGGACAAATGATGATTGGATAATGAACACTAGTTAAAAATGTAATATTGGACATTAGTTATACTGAATGAAGTCATTATTTCCCATTTTAATCCTGTCTGAAATGTACATGCATGTTACAACGCTTAGATTTACTTCATCTCGGCAAATGGGACGTTAATTTACTTCTTTACGCCTGTTACTTCTCAAGGAGGAGTATAGACCGACCATCACCATTCTTCATCTAACCCTGTCCTGGACAATCTTTTCCAGCTCTTCCTAGTTGTTATTCATTCTTTACATATCTGCTTCTATTTATCGACAACATGTGTTCTTTGAACTTCCTATTTTCCACTTCCCTTCAGGATTACAAGTTAGCACATGCCTCATGATGCAGTTTGGTGAGTTGCATAATGTATGTCCTATCCACCACCTCCAACGACTTTTCCTAATTCCTTGTTCATCTGGAAGCTGGTTTATTCTCTTTCACAGAAGGCCATTGCTGACGATATCCAGCCAATGGATGTTGAGTATTTTGCGTAGACAACTATTTATAAATACTTGTACCTGTTTGATGATTGTTGTGGCAGAACTCCAAGTTTCAGCTCCTGTAGAAAACTAACTCGCTAAAAAAAACTTTGATTTAACGTAAACGAATATCTACACTAGATACCCTCCCAGTGTCTATTCTACAGGAATTCAACACAATTCAGATCAAGAACACGTGATTAGCCTGACTAGAACGTAAATATATTTCCAAACCAAAAATCGATAACAATCACAGTAATAGTAAGGATAAGCGAATAGACAACTCATCTAGTACCTATTAGACTATCTAGTAGTTTGATTGAGCAAACAACTAATCATTATCATCCTTATCCACATATCAAATTGTGAATCGAATTATCTGTACTAACAAAACAAATAAACACAGTTTAAACCATTAAAATAGACGACGTGATAGTCAACAAAATAAGATTATGTAAAGCATAAAATAAGTCTGAATATTATATTATTCATAAGTAAAGATGAATAGTGGCTAGCAGTGGAATCAAGGGCACGCGTTTCATCCTATCTGAAACTCGTCATCTGGATGTACATGCATCAGAGAGTTGATGTTCACTCCAGGACTCGAACCCGGTGCCGTCCGTTTCAAACGTCGTCGCGTTATCCAATTAACTTCTGTGTGTACAGCTAAAGTTTTCAAAGTGTTTTTGAAGTGGTTAGCCATCTCGTGTTCTACGAAAAATACTTTATTTTAGAATGACAAATTAAAAGTTATCCCATAAGCAATAATAAATGGAATTTATTTTACTTTTGAATAACTACACTACTTGCAATTTGATAGTAGTTTAATTGTTAGACAACATTAATTTGGGTAACAAAATGACCATTCTGAGAGACCCAAAAAGAGGTTGAACACTGATACCAATAAACTATAGACAAATTCATCATAACCCTGAAAAAGTAAATCGTCACATCTCAGTACAAATAAGAGAAACTCAACTGATCACAATGGAAATAGAGTCATGATATTTCTTTGCTTAATTCTCTATATGATATACAAATAGTTGAATTTATTTTTCGAGTAACGATAATCATTGTATATATCAGTAACAACTAGCTTACACTAAACAGCAATATGGTCTCTTCGAAAAACGGTCATCAGAATATTTCAACTGTTGTAAAGTCACAAATCTTAACTTCAACCAATATTTCATTGTTCAAAATAGCTAAAGGACATATGAATTTACTTAATAAACAGTAACTATGCCACACACACACACACACACAAAAACATCTTGACCATTAAAACAATTAAATTAATATCTATGGTTAATCACAGGTAAAATATACATGGACCTTTGTAATCTAAATGTTATAATAAGTAGTAACTAATTAGATGAAAAAAGTCATTCATACATTCATGATTGAAACAAGATAGATGTAACTATATCATCGATTCACTTGATATTGTTTTACTTGAATCTTCCCATTGATGTTTTTGGACTGAAATTGATCAGTCTCTTATTGGCATATGTGCATACTGTGCGTATGGCTCGACATTGCCTTAATTTACAAGCATTATAAGCAAAGATGGATAGTGGCTAGCAGTGGAATTCAGGACGCGCGTTTCGTCCTGTTTGGGACTCGTCAGCTGGATGTACCTGCATCTCAGAGTTGATGTTCACTCTGGGACTTGAACTCAGTACCGTTTGCTTCAAACGCCATCGCGTTATCCACTTAGCTACTGAGTCCTTGTAAATTAAGGCAATATCGAGCCATACGCACAGTATGCACATATGCCAATAAGAGACTGATCAATTTCAGTCCAAAAACATCAATGGGAAGATTCAAGTAAAACAATATCAAGTGAATTAAACTGCAACCCATTGCACTAGCAAGTGGCTATCATGACTCAGTAGGTAAGTGGATAACGCGATGGCGTTTGAAGCGAACGATACTGAGTTCCAGTCCCAGAGTGAACATCAACTCTGAGATGCAGGTACATCCAGCTGACGAGTCCCAAACAGGAAGAAACGCGCGTCCTTGATTCCACTGCTAGCCACTATCCATCTTTGCTTATATATCATCGACTGTTCATTGTAAAATAGTTTGTTGTAAACACCTTCATTCAACTATCTGAAGAATAAAAATCATATAAAAACAGTAAAACTAAAATGTAAGCTAAAAATTCTTCACAACCTCCCTTCCTGTATTAGTAATAACCATGTGCTCGCTAGTGATTAGCTTCAAAATGAAACTCCTAGAGTTCTGGTGAGAAGCCGTTACCAGTGGAGTTTAATCATATCGAGGATGTGAGGTATTTATTCACTCCAGGTAATTGTAAAGGGTTGCGGATTATGATGTACTAAAGTTTAATATGTACACTGTTCAGTGCCAATACAGTCGTCTGGATGTTACACGTTTATTCGCATGTCCGTAGGTTTTTTGCTCGATTCACACCTGTGAGGTCCCAGGTAATCACTACTGAAGAGTCCCATACTAGGATGAGACGCCCACCTAATGTTTCTAGGTCTTCAATGTTTCTCTAATTAAGATCAGTTCATGACTTTAACTGTGAATACAAATACCATTAGTTCAAAAATCTCAAACCATGACGTGTTTACGTATCAGTTAAGTTGTCAAAACACGGTTAATGTATGTACATACTTTCCATAATTGTGTAGGATTTAAATTGGAACACCTACTACAAATAAAAATAACAGCCCCTTGCTTTAACAATCAGAAATTTCACTGACTAACAGGATTAAATCAGATTGTACATTCCACTGCAAGCCACTATCAAACTTTGCTCAAGAAATCAAGTAGCCTAATGGCAGTGTAGAGAAAAAAAGACTCGAATACGGTAAGTCAAATTATTGTTCCATGCAAAATTACTCAATGCCCTTATAAAATATGGAACTCATACATTAAATACATCATTTGCATATTTTCCTTCAGTTGTCATTTACATACTCTACCACACTTCCAATCCTGTTGTCATTTCGATTCCTGAGAGTACTGGATGACTGTTTTGTCCCATTGTGGGACTCCTCAGCAGTGTGCATATACAAACCCGCCTCGCGAAATTCAAACAGAGGATCTATCAGTCTCGTGCGTGAACGCTTAAACTCTATACCACTGAACCAGCCGGCATCCATGGGTGTTATTGTCTAACTTCAACCTATCCATGATTGTCTTCAGTGAGTTACTATCTAACAACAGACCAGGTTGAACTCCACTGGTCACTGTTTCTCACTAGAACTCCAGGCTCAGTGGTATAGTGGTTCGAATCTGGGTTCGAATCTCGCGAGGCGAGGCCGTGGATGCACACTTCTCAGAAGTCTCACAATTCGACGAAACGGCCGTCCATAGCGGTCTAGCTTCAATTGACTCATGATTTCAATCATTGAAATGACCATAATATCCACAAGAAAAATCCTTGTGATAATCTTCTCTGTTAAAGATCTTCCTCATAACTATATTGTTCAAAGAGAAAAATAATCACACCTGATGATAAACTATTTCGGCTAGACTCTAATTTATGGACGAACCAATCAGGTATAAGATAATAGATCTAAGATTTTGGCACAAAATTCACTCATCCAATTGGCTAAACAGAGTATTTGCATTATGCTTCATATCAGCTCATGATGAAACCCCTTCTAAATCTAATTCCCAACACAGTTTTATTACCTTCATTTGTTTCTGGTTATTAAGTGAACACTCTCAAGGTTACTGTAACTACACTCAAAGGTCGTCCATAACTCAATGAAAATTATACTTATTAAACATTATTAATTTAATTGGTTATCAATTTATCACGCCCAAGGTCAATAATAATAACCAATCGAACTATAAAGATAATTATATTTATCCTTTATAATTCTAATCTTCTTATTTCAAAAGTTTTATACCATAGTAACTAACATATAATATGGGAAGTGGTATATCAAGGCTGACACCAAAAGTTATCTACTTATCAATTAATGGAAATATTGAAAGAGTAAATAGTTAAAAATGAATATATTTTTTACTGTTTGATGAAGGGGGTTTTTGTGGATATTATAGTACTTTCAATAGTTGAGATCATGAGTCAATTGAAACTAGGGGCGGGATTGTGTATGCGCACTGCTGAGGAGTTTCACAATAGGACGAAACAGTCATCTAGTGCTTCCAGCTTTTCTATGATAGTCCAGTTTCAAATGATTCATGATCACAACCATTGAAATAAATTAATTATTTTTTAAAAGAAAACCCACAAACTTATTGTATCCTTTTTATCTTCTTTATTTCTTTCTTTCTAGATTTTGATCACATTATCATGTACCAGTTGTGAAATACACGATTTAATTTGTATCCTTTCAAATGTTCCAAAGTAAATTACGTACACACAAAAAAAATTTATTGATTTTACTTCCCTCCCTCCCCTCCTCTCTCTTTCTCTCCCTCCCCTCATTCTCACATTTAGATCATCGAATATAATCATAACTGATGTGAATGGATTACATGTACCATGTTCTGGTTCAATGTTAGCAAATACATATAAGTAAGTTATGAAAATAGAGAAATCTCATTTATATAATAATAATATTATTAGAATGAGTTTTGTGGAGATTTTTTCCGCAGGGGGAGGGATGGTGGATGCGCACTGTTGAGGAGTCTCACTATATGACGAAAAGGCCTTCCAGTGCTTCCAGATTTTCTATGGTGGTCTAGCTTCAATTGACCCATGATTTCAATCAGTGAAATAATATTATTATTGGTTATATGATGCGTTAAATAAAAAAGAATAACATGAATGTAACATCGGATAGTATTTAAAAAATGTTTAGACTAAAAAAGTTTTTAATAGTTGAGATCATGAGTCAGTTGAAGTTAGACCATCAAGGGAAACTTGGAAGCACTAGACGGCCATTTCATCTTAATATGGAACTTCACAGCAGTGCGCATTCACCATCTCGCGTTGTTTGCTGTGAGATACTAACTCACTAAAGAAAATAGTGGACGGTGGCATAATTTCATGGATTGCTTGAAGTTAGACATAACACTGTTGGATCCCAGCCGGTTCAGTGGTCTAGTGGTTAAGCGCTCGCAAATGAGACTAATAGGTCATGTGTTCGAATCTCGCAAGGTGGGGTCGTGGATGAGCACTTCGGAGGAGTTCCACAATAGGACGAAACGGCCATCCAGTGCTTCCAGGTGTTCCATGGTAATCTAGCTTCAATTGACTCATGAATTAAACTATTCAATTACAGATGTGAATTGAATGAATTCTTAATTGATGTATAGACTGAAGGTATGAAATACTCACAAAATTTTCTCCTTATAAAAAGTATTTCACATTGAGTCGCTACTAATCGATGCTCAGTTAAACTAGTATCTAGATTATTAAGAAAATAGAAGAGATAAATGAGCAGTTGTAAAGTATCAACAAGCTTTTACTGTGAATAAACAATTCGGTTAAACGACACAGTGATTATTTTGAATAGTAGTCCATTATAGTACCCATAATTGTACTAAACGGTATAAATAAGGAGCTTTATAACCATTGGTTAATCTGTACAATATACATGACAAGTCAGTTAAAAACACTTTTGATAAAGTTATGCACAAATCAAATTACAATCATCTATATACAGTTGAAACAATTTGTAAGTTACAGAATACTTGTAAGATTTCTGAATACTGAAGTAAGTGATTGAATAATTTTTATTCATTTATTTTAAACACATAGATATTGGTACAAGGAGGCACCAAATACATATGCACCACACAGATCTCAATTGATATGTGTGGGGGTTATGATACTGCCCGGCTGCTCAAACCGAAGCGGCTGGGTTTTCTTAGGGGCCATACCCGGAGCCTTCGACCTGAAAGTCTGATCCACAAGGCAGTGGAGCATCGTAAGGAGATGCAGTCCCACGGTAGCCAGTGACCAACGATTGGTTTATACTCTATTTGTTCTTTCAGGATCTCGGAGCCCATGTGCACCATTGATTTGCAATCAGGGTTTTCCAACTCCCCTAGGTGAACTCTCCATGTCTACCAACCCGGTTAAAGCGCCAGACATTCAGTTTTCTTCCTCTCAATTTCATAAACAACACCCCTGTTGAGAGAAGGCAGTGAGTAGAACTTCCCTGGCAGAAGCTACATACGCGTGGCCATGTGAGAGCATTTCGAGAGGGAGAGCGGACTCTCCCCACTCTCGGCTGTACCAGGACATTTGACTGATAGAAGATACATCTCACACATATGTTTCAGGAAGAGGGAACTATTCAAATGATATCTGACAACTAGTTGTCTTTAAGCATCAGATACCAAATGAACTGATTTCTTAGCGCTATTTATGGTAAGTGAATTATTGCGACAAGTAGTGAATTCGAAACTGAAATTGCATCTCTTTTTTTACCATGAAAAAGCAGTTTTTTTATAAGCAAAGATGACTTGTGGCTAGTAGTGGAATCCACGACGCACGTTTCGTTCTGCTTGGAATTCATCAGCTGGATATATCTACACTCCGTAGTTAATGTTTACTCCAGGACTCGAACTTAGTAATTTTCACTTCAAATGGCATCGCGTTATCTACTTACCTACTGAGTCCAGATAGCCACTGACTTATGCAATAGGGTAACTTTTTTATATAGTTTTATTAAATTTAATATGTTTTCATCTAAACAATATACTAATAACATCGTTATCCTTTACTTAAATAGTATGCTGTGTAGGATGGTAGAGAGTTTTCGTAATATCAACTCACTGAATAGTGATAACCAACTTAGTAAGTAGATACATTTGAAACTTTCATATGAAAGATGGAATATCTTATAGTTCAACTGTTCATGGGATTATATCCATTCTAAGCGCATATGGTATATAGAAGTGGTTCAGCGGAAAGTATAAGATAAACATGGAATTGAATATCAGAATAAACAACTCTTATTAAAATTTTTCTTTAATCATTGAGATCATGAGCCAATTGAAGCTAGATTACTATGGAACACCTAGAAGCACTGGACGGGCGTTTCGTTCAATTGTGAGATTCCTCAACAGCGCGCATCCACGATCCTGCCTCGACAGTTTCGCGAATGCGTAACCACTAGACCACTGAGCCGGCCGGCATTCAATGGTGTTATGTCTCACTTCAACCGATCCACGAAACTGAACGACACATTCACGATTGTCTTCAAAGAGTTACTATCTCACAACAGATCCGGTTGAACTCCATTGGTCACTGCTTCCTACTAGAACTCCATGAAATACCACTTGAATCCAGTCACTAGTGCGGATATGTTGATTATTATCAGAAGTGGTTTTGTGGATATTATAGCAATTTTTAATGATTGACAACTTTAGTCATTTGAAGCTTATTGAAATGATAAATAATCTACAAATCCAATGTATGGTTTGATGGTATTACATCTGATTATGGCTCTTGGTGATTCGATAAGTGTTAACCACAATGTAGCCCAAGTTGAAAGCCTCCAAAAGACAGTCCCAAACAAGCTAACATTATTCATAGATAGATTAACTGCAGCTATTGGTAAAATTCGAGATGTGTTTTATTCCACTTGGAATTTTTCAAATGAATAGTCCTACTAGATCACTGAGTCATTGGTTACTTACTTTACTTACTTTCGCCTGTTACTCCGAATGGAGAATAGGAAGCCGACCACCCACTCTGTCCTGAACCTTCTTCTCTAGTTCTATTCAATTGCTGTTCATTCTTCTCATGTCCTTCTCCATTTCTCGGCATTATGTCTTCCTTGGTCGTCCTATTCTTCTTTGGCCTTGAGGATTGCAAATTAGGGCTTGCCTTGTGACACAGTTCAGTGCTTTCCTTAATGTGTATCCTATCCAATTCTAGCACTTGTTCCTGATTTCTTCCTCCACTGGAATCTGGTTTTTTTCTCACCCACAGTAGGTTGTTGCTGATAGTATTTGACCAACGATTCGTAAGTATTTTGTGTAGACAACTGTTAATAAACATTTGTATCTTCTGGATGATGGGTTTCGTAGTTCTCAAGTTCTTCGCCCCATACTGTAGAACTGTCTTGACATTTGTGTTGAAAATCCTGACCTTGGTGTTGGTTGACAATTGTTTTGAGTTCCATCTTTTTGTTCAGTTGTAAATATACTGCTCTTGCTTTATCGATCCGCACCTTTACATCTACATCAGATCCACCGTGTTCATCAATGATGCTGCCCAGTTTTATGTAAAGATGTTTACATCTTCTAAATCTCCTCTGTCAAGAGTATAAATTTCAAGTAAAAGTCTCTATTATATTAGCCTATCGTGTACCCTCTGAGTGAGTGCTTCATTATTAACCGTAAACACAAAGATCAGATTTCATTTCAATAAGATTTTACCCATTAACTTAAGTAAATACACATTATACTGTATAGTTTTAACATTAATCTTGTTTTTTTTTTATTTTTTGGAACTATTTTTACAGTACACCATATACTGTGACAATAACACACAGTTCAGAGCCAAGTGAAATAACCCTCATTGTTCGAATGTTTGAGTCGCTCACAAAACAAATAAATGAGTAATATATATACATATATGCATAATTACTTATAGTATTATTTTATATGTTATAATTAACCTACTATAATCTCATTAATTACTAACTAATAGAACTTTTTAACTGAGTATATGTATTGTAAACTCATATCTGGTACAATCATAACAAATGGGATAGGATTCGAACCTAAGACCTAACAGTTGGAAGTCAAGTGTCTTAATTATAAATTGCACTATTGAATCATTTATAACTTGAAAAATGATGTTTTACTATAGTGAACAAGTGTATATACATATATGTGATATTTATTACTTTGATGGCTAAGTATTGCACATTAGTTGGATACTACTGTTAACATTATGTTCTTCTATTTGGATGAATGTAATTACAGCGTTTCAGATAATAACATGATTCAATACAGGTCTTTATAAATTTCAATAATGTTTTCATTTCTATGAACTTGGTATTATACTTCAAGAAAGCATTCTCAATAAGTTCCTAATGTATAATGTATAGTTTATAGAAACAAAAACATCAATTAACTGTTAAGAATTCTATACAAAATCATCAGTACAAATATCAAAAAAGTTCTTCATAATTAGTGAAATGCTTTTCTTATCAGCTATACTTGCTTACGCCTGTTACTCCTCGTGAAGGAACATAGGCCGCTCACCAGCATTCTCCATCCAACCCCGTCCTGGGAAATCCTTTCCAGGTCCTTCCAGTTCCTATTCGTCCTTTTCATATCTGCTTCTACTTCTCGACGTAACGTGTTTTTTGGCCTTCCTCTTTTTCATTTCCCTTCAGGATTACAAGTTAGCACTTACCTTGTGATGCAGTTTGAGTTCCACTCAACTGATTATTCGACAATGACTTATCAACTATAGAATATAATGAATTGTTATCATTGTCTGAAAATAAATTCTGAGGTGAGGCTATAATTTATTGGATGAACCGATTAGATCTACGATAACAGGTCTCGGATTTTAGCGCGAAAACCACTCATTCATTTGGATAACTCGAGTTTTTGGTATTATAGTTGATGTCAGTTCGTGATGAAAACTCTAAATCTAATTTCTAACCTTAACGATCAACTATAAATCATCATTCGAATTCCTCACACAGGTTTATAAACTTCAGTTAATCCTCATTATTAGGTCGACACTCTCAAGGTCAGTCTGGCGTCAGTCAATGATCGTCTATATATTATATTCTCACCGAATTTTAAATACAATACAAATGTATACCAGTCTAAATTATCACAATTTACATCAGTTCAACAAAGAAGGAATAAAATGACAAGATGAGAACAATTTGAAAGGAATGAATCAATCAAAAGGATTAGGAATAAGATAATTAAAAATATAAAATGATATGAAAACTTAAAATTTCTACGGGATAGAGAAGTTGATTCCACTACCAACCCTCATCCTTTACCAGGAATTGGGACTGGCAGTAGCTAATAGGAGAACTACAGATGGAGTTAATAATAATACGTTATAATCTTTTTTTTTCTGTACATTAAGCATATAAATCGATTTTATTGATTAAATGTTTACTTTTTATAGTACAATGAAAATTTCCGATTTGAAGAATGAATTCACAGATCGAATGCAACTATTGGAACAACGAATTATGGGTATGTTTATATCTAGAAAATGTTTGAAATTAGCATTAGGAGTTTCATTCGGATTTAAGTAAACAGTTAATAATACCATTAGTGAATACACTGTGATGATGATGATGATGATGATGATGATGATGATGATGATGATGATGATGATGATGATGATGATGATGATGATGATGATGATGATGATGATGATGATGATGATGATGATGATGATGATGATGATGATGATGATGATGATGATGATGATGATGATGATGATGATGATGATGATGATGATGATGATGATGATGATGATGATGATGATGATGATGATGATGATGATGATGATGATGATGATGATGATGATGATGATGATGATGATGATGATGATGATGATGATGATGATGATGATGATGATGATGATGATGATGATGATGATGATGATGATGATGATGATGATGATGATGATGATGATGATGATGATGATGATGATGATGATGATGATGATGATGATGATGATGATGATGATGATGATGATGATGATGATGATGATGATGATGATGATGATGATGATGATGATGATGATGATGATGATGATGATGATGATGATGATGATGATGATGATGATGATGATGATGATGATGATGATGATGATGATGATGATGATGATGATGATGATGATGATGATGATGATGATGATGATGATGATGATGATGATGATGATGATGATGATGATGATGATGATGATGATGATGATGATGATGATGATGATGATGATGATGATGATGATGATGATGATGATGATGATGATGATGATGATGATGATGATGATGATGATGATGATGATGATGATGATGATGATGATGATGATGATGATGATGATGATGATGATGATGATGATGATGATGATGATGATGATGATGATGATGATGATGATGATGATGATGATGATGATGATGATGATGATGATGATGATGATGATGATGATGATGATGATGATGATGATGATGACAAGGAAGAGAATGAGGAGGAGGATATAAAACGAACTTCTAGTTTTTCCTCATTTATTTATTTCTCATTTTAATAAAATTATCGGGAATATAAAACGACTAATAATCATTGAGAAAATAATAATAGTAATAATAAATCCTTACCATTTGGTTGCTACTGGCAACCGATTAATTTATACTTAACTCATTTCGATAAACAAACGTGACTTGAAAAACTATTTTTACTTTTTTACAAATGGAAATATTTAGGGAGAAAAGATTTATTATTAGTAAGTGAATTCATCTCACCAACTAATTGTCCTTTAGTCTAAATAAACGAATATCATCATATCGAATAGTAATTTAGGAGACATGATGAAAGATAATCATAATCGAGTTCCACCCAAAATTACATTAATGGGAAATGAGTATGTATAACCCAATAATATTAGCACAACATATAATGATGTAAATGTAGCAGAAAAATAGAGGAAAGGGGGGGCAGATGATAAAAATAACAGTACAAGTTAAGTTGATATAAATTTATCTTAACTATGACATATTTTTAGCATAGATTTTTTCTTGTGGATTGTCTATGAATGGTGGAGAAGATGAAGTTTTGAAAAGAAAGTACGTGAAGATTTTGGGAATCTTACTGGTATCTAGTTCTTTGCATCTTTAACTTCAATTAGTTTGAGATAATACGTAATCATCTCCTACCACATGTAGTGGGGAACTATCACACATTCCCCATATGATTGAACTCCATAGGTAATGGCTTCTCACCAGAATTCCAAGAGTTCGTCACTCAAAAATTAACTACTGTAATACTTACGCCTGTTATTCCACGTGAAGGAGCATAGGCCGACCACCAGCATTCTTCATCCAACCCTGTCCTGGACAATCTTTTCCAGCTCTTCCTAGTTTTTATTCATCCTTTTCATATCTGCTTCTATTTACTGACGTAATGTGTTCTTTGAACTTCCTATTTTCCACTTCCCTTCAGGATTACAAGTTAGCACATGCCTCATGATTTAGTTTGGTGATTTTCGTAATGTATGTCCTATACACCACATCCAACAACTTTCCCAAATTTCCTCTTCAGTTGGAAGATGGTTTGTTCTCCCACAAAATGCTGTTGCTGATTATATCCGACCAATGGATGTTGAGTATCTTGAGTAGAAAGCTATTTATAAATACTTGTACATGTTTCATGATGGTTATTGCCGTTCCCTACATTTCCACTCCGTATTGTAGGACTGTCTTGACGTTCATATTGAAGATTCTCACTTTGACATTGGTTGACAATTGTTTTGAGTTTCACATGTTCTTCAACTGTAGGAATTCTGTCGTTACTTTACCAATCCTTTTCTTTACATCTTCATCGGATCCTCGTTGTTCATCAATGATGCTGAATATATCATGCACCTGAAAGTTTCCACCTATTCCAGAGTTTCTCCATCAAGTGTGATTGGATTGGTTGGTGTTCTCTGTGTTGTAGTTGAGGATATTGGTTTTTACTGCGTGTATGCTGAGGCCCTCTGATGCAGAGGATGCTGCTACACTAGTTGTCTTCATCTGGATTTATTCGTGTATGTGGGATAGGAGGGCTAGATCATCTGAAAAGTCCAAATCGTCTAATTGGTTCTGAGCTGTCTATTGTATGCTGTGTTTTCCCTCAGATGTCGAGGTCTTCATTTGTAAACGTGATACTTTAAGATTATTAGGTGGAAATCCAATGATGTACGCCTTTCAGTTCAACCAATTTGCCATGAACTAGAATATGAAATACCATCTGTAATAACTGTGAAACTTTCGATATAGTTGAAACTTACCCTACTAACTAATCCCATCAGGCGGTGGATAAAAACCTATCTGCAAATAATATTTCATTCACAATTCAATGAGCTAGTTGAACTTATAGACTAATTCTAATATGCTTCATTGATAAATTGAGGTTATCTTGATCTAGATCTGATACTTATCAAATTACTCTTTATAGACCAATTTACAATGGTAGAAAAGATTTTTTGTCTGCTATAGATTTTGTCTCTTATAATTTCAGTGGTCTAGTGGTAAAGCGTTCGCGCGCAAGACTGATAGGTTCGGTGTTCGAATCTCGCGAGGTAGGATCGTGAATGCGCACTGCTGAGGAGTCTTACAATAGGACAAAATGGCCGTCTAGTACTTCCAGGTTTTTTATGTTCATCTAGCTTCAATTGACTCACGATCTCAACCATTAAAATTCTTATAGATAACTGTAGAGTTTTTTTTATTGTTGGAGTCATATGTTTAATATGTTCTTCTAAACAATAATCCAATTAGGATAAAATTCAAGCATTCTGATCAGGGAAGCAAATTACCCCTTTTTGGTTTCAATAAGACATAGTTCATTATATCACTCAGTTGTATTCCTAATAAGAACTGGATGGAGTGTTGAATGAACATATTTATATATGAAGAACTATGACTAAACTCAACTGGTCTTCACGTTAAGTTGATTGTAACAGCCTATACAGTTTATTTCCATTTACTTACATAATCATTAGAAAGGTGTGAAAAGTATGGAGATGTTAAACATTAAACTAAACTAATATGAAGGTGTTTGTGGAGATTATTAGATATCATTGAGATCTCAGATAATTAATTAAATCTGTGAAGCATTAGAGTTCTGTTTTTCATCTTACTGTTGAACCCTTCAGTATAACCCAATCTCCAATGAAGACATGGGTCTTCACTGCTAAGGAGGAACTATAAAAGTTCAATACTTCTTGAGTTTAACCGATCGTTTAAATTAGATTCTTTGATGATCTCAATATAATGAAAATATCTACATCATTATCATAACATCCGTTTATTCTTTTCTTTTAGTTGAATCCGATCGTCATAATGATATAGATAGAATTAAAAAAGAACTGAAAGAGTTAAAAATTCAAATTCATGAAAGAAAAACTGGTTTAACAAATATCGGGTAAATTATATTGTAACTTTTTTTTAATAGTTGAGACCACGAGTCACGCGCAAGAGCGATAGGTCATGAGTTTGAATCCTGCGAGGGGGGATCTTGGATGGGCACTGATGAAGAGTCCCAAAGTAGGACGAAACGGCCATTCAGTGTTTTCAGGTTTTCTATAGTGGTCTGGCTTCAACTGACTCGTGAATTCAACTATTAAAATTACTATTATATCCACAAAATCCTTTCTGAAATTATATGAATGATTATTAAACTTCTCATATGTATCACCACTTGTCATAACTTGCGACTTATGTGCCCTGTTAATTTATACGTAATGATACTATCATTTAGAAAGCAGTGAATTATCGATTGGACCAATGACGCGTAAAAACCCGTACGAGCAGTCTAGAAGGCTTATTGGTCCTCATATCTTCTTGTCCGGTCCTGCCTGTTGACACCAGAACACCAATCTCAGTCTCTAAGATATGAATCATTATATTTCGAACATACTGAGTTTATATACCAATCAAACAGACAACAACGTACCAACAAAATATAAAACAACATTAGTACAAGAATTAGCCAGATGTGGCTGTGAATGAGGGAGATAGTAATTAATGTAGTAGGTATAACTCAAGAATGGTAAAACGTATAATAATAGTTTATGGGTCAAAATAAAGCTTATAATAAGAGGAATATGAATATGCTTAGTTTAGTTACTTAATAATTATTTTTTTGTTGAGATCATGAATTAATTGATGTTGGACCACCGTTGGAAACCTGGAAGCACTGGACGGCCGTTTCGTCCTAGTATGGGACTCCTCAGCAGTGCTCCCAGGTTTCCAACGGTGGTCTTACATCAATTAATTCATGATCTCAACCAAAAACTTAACAATCTCCACAACCCCCATACTTAATAATTAGACAATAGAAATATGCGTTTAGTATTGGTCCATAAATGGATCCCGAAAAATTACCACCCATTATTCTTGTCGGGACATAACATTTCCATTAGTTAATATATTATGATTAATAATAAACTACCCATTTATTACTTTTATATTAATCAAATAAATATACTTTACAGTTCAGAACGTACCTATTTAGGTAATATACGATTAAGTAATGATGGTGTGAAAATTCTGGATTTACAGAATTTACCCATTTTTGAAAAGGTTAGTTATGATAATTTCATTATTTAATCTGAATATATCGGTCACATATTCTATTTTATATAGATTGATTAGATTTACAGATGGTACTCTGGTCAAGAAATATTAAATGTTTATTTCGTCCTTGCATTGGGCTCCTCAGTAATATACTCTTCTTGAGGCCTAAAAGTTCTAGTTTTAATTATGATCGTTTTTCGATGTAAACTATGAAATGTTTTTATTATCGCTAAACATAATGGATTATTTCCTGAAAACTGGTAAATCCTCATCAATTTTTCAATTTAGATTATAATAGCTTACTACTGAGTGTAAACTGATTTTTCAAGGATCGAACCCAGAAAATCCAGGACTGCCAACTAATACTTAACTATTAAAATTAATGAATTGGAGTTCATTAGCAAAATTCTACTATTAATCATCTTGCGATATAATGGATGATCATCCAAAAACATGTTTTTCAACATGCCACACTCTTGAAGTGTGATGATAGGTTCCTTACTAGAACGAAACAGCTTTATGGTGTTCCTTGGTTTTCAGTGATACCCAAATAGAATCACTCTGTGACAAATCATACTAACTTATTACTTATGTTTATAATACAGTTTAAGAGATAGATAAACTTTGAAGGTCCTTTAGTAGCCCTTTATCTGATTCTAGCCAAATCGTATGATGATTAACATTGAAATAAAATACGCCGACAACACTCGTATAAAATTACCAACTTAATTCGCGTCAAAGAATAATGGAATAAAATAAGCCAAATACGAGAATGAACTTTTAATACTTAAGTTTTATACTCTCGCTGATCCGGGTAGACAATTAGAGTACCGAAGTAAACAAAACGAAGTAGATAATGTCGTTGGAAAAATGGAAAGCGAAGCGATGCGGAGAAGGTGAATGAGCCAACTCCATTTGACTAAACGTAACTCAACAGTTATAGTCTGATCGAAAATAAGTTACGGACACGTAATGAATAGGGTAAGCAATTACCATTCATACGATCATATGAAAACAGTCAGGGTTAATAAGCGAATCATCAACAAGGTCAAAATGTGGCTTGATAAGAATGTATAATTTGGGTTATCCAGAAGCTAGAATAACCTATATCGGCTTGACACATAGTATCAGCTACTACAGTCCAGACAATTAATACAGATTTAAAGTGTATGAATTTAGCTAGAATAATAATGAAGCTGAATAGCATGAATCTATTCATTCTATTCTATCAAATAAAGCTCATTGAGATATATCATTACTTGAATTAATGGCCTATTTCAATATGATCAATAGAACTTGGTCAACATTGAGTTTTTAACAATACAACACAGTTCATAGGCCAGCTACTGATTAGTACAACTAAATAGGTTATGGGGGAAATCGTTAAGGCATTAGATAGTTTACTGTTAAACAACAGAACAATTTTAGAATCCTTCTAAAATGATCATATGTACCGGGTTGGCTAGTGTTAACTAACACGGAAATATTATTCAAAGCTTTCAGAAGATTATTTCCAACTTGTTAACTAGTTTGGTTGTGTCCAAACCATCCAGCTCAAAGAACAAAACTTCATCAAAATTATCCACTTGAGCTACAAATCTTCTCCACCATTCCGAACTAGGTGGAGAAAGTAATCATCAAATTAAAACTTCATTGTGATAGTAAAAGATTAAATACCGCTTATTTCTAAAGACATAGATAGTATTTAATTATTTTCCTAGTGACCGTTATCTAACCGACCATCAGTTTAACAAACGATGTTGATTTCATTAACATTTCCCAACTTGTATCAATTATGGAGTCTGTTTAGCGAAGAAAAATTGAATATATTGTGTAATTGTTCACTCTGTTTGACTTTATGATGACGTAACATATCCTTTGGAACAGAGGATATTCAAAGGTTACTATTATTCGGTGATGGGTATCTAGATACCAGGAAGTTACTAACTATTGATCTGAGCCAATATCAATAGGTATCGATTGCTTGATCGAAGCTCACATGATAACCATGATCAATAATTGAAGATGTTGATATGTTGCAATGTTGTAGATGAATTCAATCTCGTCAGATTCAAAGTTACTTCTTTTATTCTGTGTATTCATTCATTCTTGTCAAATCATATTCTTCATTCATCATGTTCCTTTTTATTACTAATATTATCTGTAATACTCCTACCATTTCATTTGCTTTAGTATTAGTCTTAATAATTTCTTCTCATTGTATTGATATCATATGAAAACTTGGACTTTTGCATTGATAGTACCAGATTCTATATTGCTAATGGTTGCTTGAATGTATAACAGCTTAAGTTGGTTGGTTAAGAGTTCACCTCAAACAACTAAGCATATGTCAAAACGGTACAATTCAAGTTTTCATCCACTTCCTTATTTTGTACAGCCGTTATATTTTCTATTATCTTATATTGAATGTTGAGAGGCTTTATTTGTCTGAGCAAATAATCCCATGCTCTACTGTGACTGCGTGAAGATCTAAATAAAGACCTATTCACTACTTGTCTGGTTTCTTCTATCAATAGCACGAGGGTTACTTAGAAGCACGAAAAATGTACATTATATAATCACTTTATTAATATATTTAGCTACGTTATAATATGATAATTTTTTTAAACTTTTTTTTGTGCCTAGTATACATTAACACAATCAACTATTGATTTTTTGAAGAAACCAACATTTGATATTTGGCATTGGGAACCAAATGAAGTAAGAATATTGTAAACAATATAATAATTAAAAGTATATATTATGCTTAAATATGAGAAGGGAAACAGATTTCTAGGTATATAAACCAATCAGGAACAAGATATTTATTCAACCAATCAGAAAAGAGATTATAAATGAATGAGTTATTATGCTAGGGCTTCACAGTTTAGTCATTAGAATAAATGATTAAGAGTTGAAACATGAATATTAGGATTAAACAAATAGAATTATAATTAAAGTTAATCATTTAAATGTATTATTTAAGATTGAGATTGAGTTTCATAGTTTATCTATGTTCACCAATAAGTCCTAAGAACTACTATAGTGGATGAGAACACAAGTGGGGACAATCGAATATATTTCAACACAAAATTACCCTATTTCTTAGTAAAATCTGAAAACCATACATCAGATTCTTTATTTGCAAAGTCTCAATCAAATGTCTCAGATTTTATTGTTCTTTCGTTTTAACATCAATCATTCTCTATTCTTGTATTCTTTTCTTCGATCTTCCTAACCTTCTGCCACCAGGTATTTCACTTTCGATTGATGGTACGTACTACTTATATCTATCGATATTAGTAGTACACATCACACTACATACCAATGCTAACTGTGAGCTTAATTCTAAATTCTAAGCCTCAAGCAGTTTGTGTTATTATCACCATTAAAACTAATTATCTACTTTCAATAGATAACATTCTATTTTTATATACCCTTAGTGACCTTGAAACGATTTGCTATTTACTGATTAGCTTAAGTTTATATGTCAGAATCACTTTATTTTATTTAGAATTGTAAAAATTTAATGAAGATTTTGATAAGTCTTGCAAATTGAACGCTATATTCATTTCCGAAGCTATTCTGTAACCCCCAAGCTAAAACTATACAACGAACTGAACAACGAGAAAGAAGACGCAAAGTATGCGAGAAGTAGTTTACTCCAAGGTTCATTTTAATACAGAAAATATAGGGTTTTTATAATATTTTCAAATGTCCTAGGGTTGCTCGAAGATTCTGGGATGCTACTAAACATAATAGCAGTGTAGCAATCAACCAATCAGAACCTCTGCATGTGACGTTTCACTTCCTTGATATTTTGACTAAAACTTCAAGCGAACGCTGATTGGATGAAACGCTTCTTAGTGTTTCATGATTCTTACTTGTCTTTTGCAAGAAATTTCTTGGATCACTCCTACATATTTATTGATAGAACAACCATTCTGTCTGAGAAAAATGGTTTTTGAAAACCTTGTAACTAAACATTACTCACATATTTTGTGAATTCATTGTCAACATGACCATGGCCTACGTGAATTAAATACCAATTATCACTGTTATGATATTTTAATGCCGTGTCAAATTATTAGACACTTTGAGGGTGTTATAAATTGTGGTCTTCTGCCCTATTAATGTATAACGTAATGATATCGCCAATTGGAGAGCAGTGAATTATCGACCGGACCAATGACGCATAAACACGCACGAGCAGTCTAGAATATTCATCGGTCCTATCTTCCTGTCTAGCCCTACCTATTGACACCAAAACACCAATCTCTATCTCCGCCATATGAATCATTTATTTCAAACATACTGGGTTTATATGCAAACCAAATAGACCACATCGTACCATAAAATACGGCGACCTGCTTGAATATCTGGTCTATCTGTTTCTGCCATCTAATTATTTCAACAAGTTATCTGTTTTTCATTTTTTAACGTCTCATTATGTCCATTAATCGCATGTCGATTCCCGAGCTGCTAAACTCTAACTGCCGATCACTAATCAACAAAGTGGACTATCTTCCATTCTTACTAAGTCAAAATATATATCGTAGTGTCATCACAATTCAAGAATCTTGGTTAAATGATTTACAGGACGACTGCCTATTATCACTACGTGATTTCAAACTTTATCGTCAGGATCGATCGAATAGTAAAAACAGGTGTGGCGATGATGTAGCAACGTTTGTAAACGTAAACTGGTGTCGATCTTTATTTGCGTTTTTCAAGTTTTCAAATGACTTTATCGACTGTCTAACTCTAAGATGTCATCCAAAACATCTGGATAAATACAACTATGTTTATGTTACCGAAATCTACGTGACTTCAGACTGCACATCATCTGCGCTATCTGTTTTCGCTGATGAATTCACTGAGTTTGCTGTTACTGATGTAGTGTGGCGTCGATTCGTTGTCGACTATGATCATCACTACAAGAAGGTTGCGCACCAGATATCAGAAGGCGGTTGGAGGTTGTAGCAAGATATATTTGTTGGCGATCTTGTGGCATCGAAAGAATACAGAGATCGTGCCAAGGAAGTACATGCGAAATCACTGAGCAGTGCGTACGAAGTCACAACCAACGGAAGGAAGAAGAATGTCTTTAGTACAGTTAAACAAACAAGTACAGTAAAACAATCACTGGTACAATCGGTTATAATAATAATTGTTTCCATTAAACTAGTCGCTTTCTCTTGATAAAAGTAAGTCATTACAGGAGCCCCCTCTAGAAAGGGTTTACATTTTCGATACGCAATTGTTTCGTTCGTGGGACTGATCGGCAAACGTGCGATTGTAGGACGAGGTGGTTGGCAGAGCGGGAAGCGATCGTTGATCCTCGAGTTACCACCGAAGGTCTTTTACGTAGAATGGTAACAGGAGAAACGTGCTGTATTTGTTGCTTGAGTTGGCGTACCACACCAGAGTGCTTTGTATGCAGGATCTGAGAATTGCGTTCGCAGTGGTGCAAACCAGAAAACTCTGCAGACGTAGGATGGAACCACGTCGAGCCGAGGAACCAGAAGCGACCATAATAACCAATTGCGAGACCCAACTTATGCCAGACAGATTCGAAACCAGAATATCAACTGAGTGCGTTGACAAGAGCGTGGGTGGTCAGGCCAGCTTTTGCCAAAGTTGACTGAAATTGACGGTACCAAACGGGTGATGATCGGAGGCCTGGGCTCTGGATAAAAAAAATCAAAGAAAGAGAGAAAATGTGTAGTATAGGAGTAGAGTCCTATACCTTATTCGTTGTTGGTTGTGCGTTTAGTCGCGAAGGCGTGCGTGTAGGCGTACTTGGCGACCGGAACGTTAGACGACAGTCTCATTCGTACTTCTTGAGCCTACAATCTCATCCGAAGTCAAGGGCGGCATGGTCTGCTGATCTGGACGTGAGACTGACGTCTCGTCCGTAGATGGTGCAGATGGCTGGGACATGAGAATGAGGTCTCTGATGTATCCAGCGTGGGATCTGAAGTAGATGTAGGGGTCTTGCTAGCAGGTCTTATGGGTCTAGCATTGAGTCTCAACTTATCAGATAAGGCACTGTCGTCGACGTGTGCTGGCTTGAGACGATCAATGCTGACCACCTTGACGAGGCCATGTCGATCAACCTTGAAGGTCTTTTCGTGACGAGAAATCACGTGAAAAGGTCCTTCGTGAGGCTGTTGCAGAGGTTTGCGTACCGAATCTACTCGTATGAAAACATGTGTACAGGTAGATAACTCTTGAGGGAGAGCGACCTGTCGATGTTGTATTCGAGTTGACACCGGAGACAGTGTTCGCATAAATTCAGACAGTCCTTGGACATAGTCTGATTTACCTAAATCGTTACTACTCCGTGGTGCGAAAAACTTCCAGGCAGACGCAATGTCGTCCCGTATAGAAGCTCACCGGCGTAACGTCAAATTTCTGCCTTTAAGCTCGTTCTGATACCTAAGAGGACGAACGGTAAGGTTTCGTACCAAATGTTGTTTTCGTGTGCTTGAAGAGCACTTTTAAGTTGACGATGAAACCATTGACTAAACCATTTGGTGCTGGGTGGTAGACGGTAGTACGTATGCGCTCCGTAGCAAGCAGCCTGGTCAGTGAGGCGAATAGTCAATCGGAGAAATTTCTCGAATAAAGCGTGGAATATATGGTCACGCGAATGAAAGACGCCTAAGATTCGGTAGGCGTACATCGGAGTCTATTGTATTAGTACTATTCTTATCTTTATCCGTCATCTCATGTTTTTGCCAGACAAAGATATTCCATCCAATGATCTTTTGAAAGAACACTCCAGAATATTTACATGTAGCTTCCCTATCAGACAAATTCCAATAACGCTCTGTATGCGGATTGGATGACTATAATAATGGTTTTGTTTTTACTAAAAACTATAAATACCTGAGAGTTTTAGAATGGTATTCCTTTCACTTGTCTGCTGTCTTCTCATTTGTGACTTCGTGGGTACTAGTGTTCAAGTGGTCAAGTTATACGTGACATATCAAGAATCTAAGCCTTGTATATAACAATTGGTTCATCCATTAATTAAATTTGTTTGTCTTAAATCTAACCTCATTCATAGAATTATTAACATTAAACAATGAATAGTGGAGTTTAGAAGTCAGTTTGATTATTCAATGTTTTTCTCATTTTATTACTCCTTTTCTTTGATCAAAGATGTTAGCTCTATTGGAACACATGTATAACGAATTAGGTGTAGTTTCGGAATTCAATATTAATCCATTAACATTGAAACGTTGGTTGGTAAGTTCTATTTAAAAATCGTTTTGTTCTACTCGATTAAAATTAACTAAGTAGTATAATAAGTAAATAAGGTTTAGGAAATCCTTCAAAGCAGCTTATCCAGTAGAAAAAAACCTAACCACTTACGTATAAAAGATAATTAATACCGAAAATAATGATAAAAGACCAAGTAGATATTCTGTCCTAACTCTTTGCATCCTCACAGGTAACCGAACCGAGGGCCTACAGGACTGCTAGCCAACATTATACTGTAGTTTTTTTGCCTTGGAGATAATTTCTTAGGCTTCGTTTATCAATCACCCTGATAATCGTTATTAAATAAATCCCATCGGTGTAGGAATTTAGAAGACAATACGAAGAGGTGACTACAGTTTATTATTGAATAACACGGATAACAAAGTTACAAGCACATCAAGAGAATTTGAGCGGAGAGGCTAATGTGTGCGAGCAAGCGAATACATGGGTGAACTTAAAGTCAAATCGAATCGAGGCGAAGCGAAGTAAGGCAAGGCGAAGGTAATTAATAAGATTCGAGCACACATGTTTACACAGACATGATAGTGATCATAATAATATATAGGAATAGACAACTTGTTACTGTCCGAATAACACTGTATATTAAATAAGTTAATTGAAGGGACTGATAAAATTACCCATGAGCAAAATTAATCGTAGGAGGATTGCTATAATATCTTCAAATGGCTAAATCCTATGTTAGTTCGTGGTCGGAAAGTTTCAAACTAAGACAAAGCTGCTTTATAAACGTGGATTATGGCTAACAATGGAATTCACAACATGTGTTTCGTCCCACTTCGGACTCGTCGGATGGGTGTACCTGTAGTTGTTGAATATTTCTCGTTTTCAGAAATGATTCTATTTTTGATGTTATTTATTTACTAAAACTAACCTCATAGTGCATTTTTATTAATAGATCATCCCATTCTTCAATAATCTGACAACTTTATATTATTATTCCACTTCATAGATATCAACAAATTAAGTACAACAATTGTAGCATAACAATGTAAAGTAATCTACTTTACAGTATCACTTCATATACAATTAAAACCTAGAATACTGTAGTGTCAACTATTAATAAAAACTGAAACATACGACTTTATCAATTTAAATAGAAATGTTCATTTGAAGAAGACGATGACACAGATGGAAATTAATCCACGTTCTTCACCTGTCACAGATTTAATTATGTCGAAATTAAGATAGTTATCATCGATAAAACTTGACAATAGCCAATAATTGTAGTTAAGGCTAGGGGTATGAAGCATTCAGTTCAGATCTGGTTACTCATACATTTTTTCAGTGACTTCAAGGCCAACCGGAATAGATTTGATCCAATGTTCAGTTGATCACTTACTTTTTCGGAGAACCAAAACAATTGTGGTCAACGTTCTAGTTTATAAGCGGTTTTTATGTATATGTCACTAAACAGTGAAAAAATGACTTTTATGTATTGGTCCTAAAGACTGATGAAAATATTTCCACTTTTATGGGATCAATTCAAGAATCACCATAACCCTATACTGATAATTACCATGTGCTCACTAGCGACTAGCTTCATGAGGGAATTCGCGGAGTTCTAATGGGAAGCAGTAACTAGTAGGGCTTATCTAGGTATCTACCTCAGTACAATGGAAGATGGTCACGCAATTTCATGGATTGGTTCAAGTTAGACATTAATACCGTTGGTTGCCGACTTGGTGGTCTAGAGATAGAGCGTTCACACTGCAGACTGAAGGCCCTAGGTTCGAATCTCGAGAGCGGGATCGTGGGTGGGCGCCGCTGAGGAGTCTCACAATAGGAAGAAACAGCCGTCCAGTGCCTTCAGGTTTACAATGGTGGTCTAACATCAATCGGTTCATGATCTCAATCAATTCAAGACTCTAAAACATGCTTTACATCTATCTCAAATTATTATTTACATTCCTACTACTAATATTCATTCAAAGTAGTTTAAAGATTCAGAGAAAAAATCAGTTACTTATTCAAAATTTCATTTTCTAGTTCGATGCTAAATTATTTTTATTCCTTTTACCACATTTTAGTTATCCATACAAGCGAATTATCGTAATAATCCATTTCATAATTTTCGACATTGTTTTTGTGTTGCACAAATGATGTATGGAATTTTATATTTATGTGGATTGAATAATGATTTTTCACGTGAAGAATTAGGAATCCTATTGACGGCTGCTGTATGTCATGATTTAGATCATCCAGGATATAATAACTCGTAAGAATCAAGAAAATTTTTTTTTCTTTTTTCTAAATTATCGATCTCCAATCATTTTTATTCCTGTTTTAGGTAGTTTTTTATTGATATGATCTGATAGTTATATAAAATCTGGGATTTGTTGCTTATTTACTTACCTACTTACACGAGTTACTTCTCTTGAAGGACCATAGACCGCTCACCAGCATTCTCCATCTAGCCCTATTCTAGGCAATTTTTTCCAGCTTCTTCCAGTTGTTATTCACCCTTTTCATATCTGCTTCTATTTCCCGACGTAACTCGGCTTTCATCATGAGGCGTCATAACTCATCTAAACGAAGACCTTCTGACTCCCAGGACAAAGTTTAAATGGTTTAAATAATTTTTTCTGGTCAGCGTTTTTTTAGCGAGTTAGTTTTCTACGGGATGGGGTCACTAACCCTATGCCCGACCGTTCTTTTTTATCCGAGCTTGGGACCGGCAGTAACTCTAGAAGAGCTACAGGTGGAGTTTGGGATTTGTTAACCTTTTTTAAATGTAGATCCATATATGATATAGCCAACTGTGTATGAATGTCATTATTTGTAGTTCCATCACTGGATTTATGACAAGACAATCTGAATTAATCTAACTTCTATGGTTATTCATCTTATGCTACACCTATCATCTTTAGGGTAACTTAGATAGTTAACCTTAGAAATCTTTTGAGAAGATTTGAGTTGGCTTAAATAACTTAGTTTATGAATAAATTATCTGATCAATAATGGGAATTATGACTGTCTGTGCTGATTTTCTTGCTAGATTGAACAGTTACAAATTTACAAATGCTAGTTTATGATACGTAAATGAAAACATTATTTCACAGTATAAAGTCATGGAATAAAAGGTTTTATACAGTAATGTATCAGTAATGATATTTGGAACTGATTTTTGGCCGTGAAAGTTAAATATGATCGATTGTTGAGAGTGAGAAAACAGCCACAGTCTACGGACTATTAAATATGTGATTCCATTTCCTCTAATTGAAATCTACTACGGACTCATTTAGTGTGACTGTTTTTAGTCGAATTGCATAAAGTTGTATCTAAAGTTAATCTGGTTCTCCATTCTGGGCCATAACTTGACTAGTCTCTTTATTGTAAGAGTGAGAAAAACATCTTTTCTTACCCCCCAACGAGTAGAAAAATTGTATATCTAACGTTTCATGACTTAAGGTAATCTGCTTCAATCGATCCATGATCTCGCTCAACTCTTCATCCATTGTTTGGGGTGGATAACTGTTAAGTTCGCTACTTCATTAACACAGAATACGGTTTACGACTACGACAATCGAAAGTTGAACTTCACCGTCGCAAATCATAAGATAGAAGAAAAACTGGAGAAGTGATTATTTGGTATGAATCAAAGTGTACAGAAAATCACGGGTATTTGTAGATATTAGCATTTTTTAAATCAACATTATATTTTGGCCAATTCGCAAAGAGACATATTGTGCTACTGACCAATAGTAGTATGCCATGTTTATACTCTAGAAAGCTCCATCATGCTCTGATTGACTGGAACTCTTCAGCTCCTTTAGGGCCTCTGTAGGGTCAGTTGTAGTTCTCGGAAGCCAACTCAACAATAACTATCTCACAACCGATACGGATTGGACTCTACTAGTCACGGCTCCTAATGGATGCACACTGCTAAGGAGTCCTATACTAGGACGACCAAATATCTTTTTTACATTAATCAATATTTAACCATAATTTTGTTTTAAACAGTTATCAAATAAACGCAAGAACAGAACTGGCCATACGATATAATGATATATCACCATTGGAAAATCATCATTGTGCTGTTGCATTCAGTATATTGAATAATCCTGAATTAAATATTTTTGCAAATGTCAATCAAGAAGTATTCCGTCGAATAAGACAGGTCAGTACATTTTATATGAGGATAATTAAGAGGATGTTATGATAATGATAATGATGGCTTAAAAAAATATGAATATTATGTTGTTTATTGATGTTGTACGACAGAGAACACTGGACAGTTTCTTCATCTCAGTGTAGAACCCTACAACAGTGCACAACGATGACTTTATCAAGGACCGAGGTTAGACTCTTCTGGTCTCTTGATAAGTACCTTACTGCGTTAACATTTACTGGTTCACGTTTTTAACTCTAATTAACGGGTTATAAGTATCAAAAGTCATCCAGAGTCATTGTTGATAACTGTCTCAGCCCTAATCTGACTGAACTACACCAGCAACGACGTCCCAATAGAAACAAGAGAACAGATCTTGGAACAAATCATTAATGCACCCTAATTATATTATTATTTAAATATTTTGAAGAGTACGGTTTAATTTGTAGATGGTAGTGAGATGTGTTCTCCATCTTCCTATGGGAAGTTGTAATTGGCAAAGTTCAGATAGGTCAAGAATGAGATAGCTGTCTTCTATGGTATTGGTTTATTATCGTATAATACCGTCGATTAACTGCAATGGAATATTCGAACAATCCAGTCATAATTTAGTTAGCTTAACTTGTCAGGCTCATCTCTAGATCTGAGATTTTTCGGGTTTGATTCAGTATGGAGTCATAAGTGAGCAATGCTGAAAAATTTCAAAACAAGATAAATAAGTATTCACTACTCTCTGTTTTTAAGTAGTTTTCTATTTAATATCAATCTGTCTTCAAAATAAATTTCAGTTAAAATGTAATTTTGAATCAAGTAAATATTCTATTATTATTTATTTAAATAAATAAACATTGGTACGAGGAGGCATCATTTGATTTGTGTAAGGGCTGGGATACTCCCCGGGTGCTCAGACCGAATTAGGTGGTTTTCTTAGGGGGCAACAGCCTGAGCCTGATCCACAAGATTGTGGAGCAAAGTCAGGAGATGCAGTCCAATGGCAGCCCGTGACTAACCATTGGTTCATACACCATTTGTTCCATCAGCATCCTGCAGTCCATGTCCGCCATTGGTTTGGAATCAGCGTTTTCCAACTCCCCTACATGAACTCTCCGTGTCCACCAATCCCTGTTAAAGCGCCGAACATTCGCTTTTCGTCCTCTCAATTTCGTAAACAACACACCTGTTGCAAGAAGGCAGTGAGTAGGACTTCTCTGGCAGTGGTTGTATGCACTTGGCTATGTGAGAGCATTTAAAGATGGAGAGCTGACTCTCACCACTCTTGGCCGTACCAGGGCATTTGGAGGCAATAGATGTTCTTTACAATTCATTTAACAATTATGTTTCATCTCTTTTAAACAAAAAAAAGGCGTCACCAAGAAAACATGAACATACTTTGATCTTTGTTTGAAATATGGAGTGAAGCTTTGAAATCTTTAATACACCCAAAACTAATTAATTCTGATAATTCATTCTTGTATAAACTTTGAAAATATTCACAACCAGATTAGTTTATGTTTACTGGTTAGAACTAACCTACTATGTGATTAAGATATTTTACACTGATGGATCACAGCGTAGTTATTAGAATCTTATCTCATTAATCCTCGGTCCTGACTGAATTCCATCAACCAAGTAACATTGTGGAGATTAGTCTAAGTGACTCGACTTCACTTACATCATGTTTTAGATATAAACTAATTGATCAGTGATCTGTGGTTAATCAGTTCAAATTCAAGAATATACCTAGTCAGTTTCTTTCAACATATATACATCTAGAGTTGATTTCTTCAATAATGTCTTCAGCTACTAAGTGATTACATCTTTGAATTAGAGTCTACAGTATAATCCTATCATCTTGCTTATGACTTATCAGTTGGAAGAATCTCCTGTTCAATGTTTACACGGAGACTAACAATAGAAGGTGATTAAATTCAGTTTGGAACATCAATATTAGAGAAAATATAAACACTTACATACAATAACCAACATTATAGATGTTTTTCGGCCATTATAAACCAATAATCTTTGCATCTAAACTAATGGATACAAGATTTGTGTCTCAGTTTGAGCATCAACACTAGGATGCAATAGATTCAACCAATTATACTAAAGTAGGACAGAAGAATCTCGTTGATTACATCGTTGATTATAGTCTAAATAAATTGACAAGTGACTCTTATTGAACACATCGATTAGACCTGAATTGTTTTAATCGTAACTGCTTCAGTAGAATGTAAACAAGTTACATTTTCATCGTCCAATGATTATCTTAAATGATTTACGAACATCAATGATGTACCCGCTATCGATTAAATATCGATCTATTGTACTATTCAAGGAATTAACACCCTTTAATTACAAATTCTTTAGTGTTTGCTAAGAAATATTGACAGTTACTTCTCTCTCTCTCTCCCTATTCTTCCAATGTATGCGATTTGGTGCCCACATACTAACTGATAAATCCAAATAGAGGTATTGAGAAAATAATATTTATAGATTTGATTTTGTGCCAGTGAGCATTTGTTTTCATATAAACTGATAAGCCTGTAGCCTGGCGTCGAGTCGAGGTAGACTATGAACACCATTACAAAGGAATGCGTGCCAGGATATCCATAAAATCCCCCGGAAGCCAAATATCAGAAGGCAGTTAATGGACCAAATTGAGACGTATTCACTGGCGATCTCGTGGTATCGAAAGAATACCGAGATGGTGCCAGGATACAAGCTTGGTTACAGAACGTAACCGTATTCGCGCGAGGTCACAATCAAAGTGTGTATAATGGATGTTTTTAGCACAGCTAAACAAAGAGCACATTGAAACCGTCACTGGTACAATTGGTTATAATAATAATTCTTTTCATTAGAACAATCGGGTTCTCGTGATAAAAGTGAGTCACTACAAGCCTAACCTCATCGTTTTAGGATTTTGTTTGGTTAATTAACAAAATAGTTATTTACTCAATTAGTTGTCACGATATTTACTATAGCCATCGGTTTGTGTGATAATTCATCATCTTTGATTGAGATCATGAATTGATTGAAGTTAGGCAGTATTGAAAACCTGGAAGTCCTATTGTGGGACTCCTCAGCAGTGCGTATCCACGATAACGCTCGCGGGATTCGAGCTCAGGGCCTTCAGTCTCGCGCACGAACACTTAACCTCTAGACCACCGAGTCGGTATCCAATCAAAAATTTAATAATCTCTACAACCGTATACTGATAATTCATCATTTGGTTAGCTACCATAAATGATACATTTTGTAATGTGTAAAAAATTAGTTACTGGTACTTAAATGATTGTACTGCAAACTATCTTTATGAATCAGTTTGACCAACTGCATATGTCATGTTGGTTTCTATTACTCAGTACATTACAAAAAAGTATCCTTTATTTGTTTTATAACTCTAAACAAGAAACAAATGGCTGTTTTACAATGCCAGTACACATAACAATGAAATGCTCCACTAGTAAGATGGTGGTTGAAGGTAGTCAACAGGAAACCCTAGCCCCGAGTTTCAGGGTTATTTGTTACTCGTCAGCAAGTTGTGCCTGCAATCCCGATCTCGATCCCGTGTCACCCAACTTTACAGACAGCGATGTTACCACTGAGCTATTTGGGCTATCTACCTTCAACAACCATCCTATCTCATTATAGTTCACTCAATGTCGAGTCACTTAGACTAAGGGCCACATTGCAACTTGGTCGATAGCATTAGATCCGCACTAACAAGGTCCTGAAACACATGACATTGATCACCACTTAGTGATCAATCAATTGTGAGTACTTCCTTGTATTCTTTTACAAATATTTCACATCCATAATCATGCATAACAATTCACATCTAGTTTTTCATGCTTTTACTGAAATTCATAATAATGTGATTGATAATCATCATGTTCGTTCGATTCTTCCGTTATAACATAGAGGACACTTCTTCAAATTTGACTGGTTCGTTCTAATAATTAAACTTATGCCAAAAATTCGATAAACTTATATGGTATTCATTCATTTTTACTTGCTCACTTACGCCTACTACTCCTCGTGAAGGAGCATAGGCCACTAAACAGCATTCTCCATCCAACTCTGTCCTGGACAATCCTTTCCAGCTCCTTCCAGTTGTTATTCATCCTTTTCATATCTGCTTCTATTTCCCAATGTAATGTGTTCTTTGCTCTTTCTCTTTTCCACTTCCCTTCAGAATTTCAAGTTAGGGCTCGCCTGGTGATGCAGTTTGATGATTTGCGTAATCTATGTCCTATCCATCACTTCCAATGACTTTTCCTAATTATTCATTCATTTTTAATACTTTTATTCTCTTTAATTAGGGTATGACAAGTTTAATTCTCTCTACTGATATGGCAAGACATGGTGAAATATTAGAAACAATGAGAAGACATTTAGAAGAAGGTTTTTCAATGAATAAAAAAGAACATCGTGAAACTGTAAGTAAAGAAAGTTAAATTTATAAGAAGACATTCGAATTTACGCCTACATGTCCACGGATGTGTATTACTGGAGAGTCTAGTCCTTTCAGGTTTTCAGTCATAGTTGGCAATTTCAACTGAGAAAATTTTGCATAACTCCACAAATATCCTACACCAATCTTTAACTCGTTGACGACTTCAACTAATCAGGTTTTTTTTGTTGATTAAATGGTAATATTCTGTCACAACACCATATACCTATTAGAAGTTTAAGCCCTTCAACCGCACAAAAAAAATGTTCTTGAACCATATAAGATATAAACTATTATCAGATGGGTTTTGTGGATATTATATTAATTTCAATAGTTCAGATCATGAGTCAGTTGAAGCTAGACTACCATGAAAAACCTGGAAGCAATGGACGACCGTTTTGGCTGAGGAGTCCCACAATAGGACGAAACGGCCGTCCAGTGTTTCTAGGTTTTCCATGTTGGTCTAGCTTCAAATGACTCATCATCTGAACCATTGATATAAGCTATTATTAAATAATCCATATACTTGACAGAATAGGTAAACTTCAATGGATAAACAAATGTCAAAATATCATTCAAGTTATGGAAAAAAAATCGGATTAACTAATATGGTGTTGTGAAAAAACATTGTCATTTGATCACAAAACACTGATCGTTTGAAGTCGTTAACGAATTAAAGATTAGTGTAGGGTATTCGATGAACACGGTGGATCTGATGCAGATGTGAAGGCGTGGATCGGAAAAACAAGACCAACGGTATCTACAACTGAAGAACATCTGGAACTCAAAACAACTGTCTGTCAACCAACACCAAGGTCAGGATTTTTAATACAAATGTCAAAAAAAGTTCTACTGCATGGGGTGGAAACTTGGAGAACCACAAAATCCATCATCCAGAACATACAAATGTTTATTAACAGTTGTCTACACAAAATATTTCGGATCCGTTTGCCAGACACTGTCAAAAACAACCTACTGTGAGAAAGAAAAAACCAGATCTTAGCGGAGGAAGAAATTAGGAAGAAGTTCTGAAAGTGGATAGGACACAAATTGAGAAAAGCGCCCAACTGTCACAAGTTAAGCCCTTACTTGTAATCTCGATGTCCAAAGGAGAAGAGAAAGACCGAAGAAGACATTACTTCGAGAAATGGAGATAGACATGAATAAAATGAACAAGAATCGGATGGAACTAGAAACGAAGGCCTAGGAAAGAGTGTATTGGAGAATGCTGGTCTGTGGCCTATGCTCCATTAGGAGTAACAGGTGTAAGTAAGTAAGTAAGTGAGTAGGGTATTTGTGGAGTTTTATAAAAAAACTTTCTCAGTTGAAATCACCAACTGATCTTAACTAGACTACGAATGAAAACCTGGAAGAACTAGACAGCTGAATAGCATTTTTCTTTCTAAAATTTTTTCTATTTTATATATGTACATAGCTCTTTGAAAAGAAAGATGTTCAATTTTAATCTAATATATAGTCCATTGACGGTTACGATTACTAACATGATCATATTGATTATTTCTTTTGTAGTTCAAAATGGTTCTCATTAAATGTTGTGATATATCAAATGAAGTAAGACCATTATCGGTCAGTGAACCATGGGTTGATTGTTTATTGGAAGAATATTTTAATCAGGTGAAAAGAATTATTATTATACATATTTTCTTATTTAAATTTGATTTAATTACTTAAGATGGTGGTTGAAGGTAGTCAACAAGAAACCCTGGGACTAGGTTTTGTGCCACTTGGCACCCATCAGCAACACGTACCTGTAATCTTGAAGGAACTGATGCTCCCGTGTAGAGGAAGATCCAGAAGCCGTAGACGTCGTAGTCCAAACACACACACTCTTGGTTTCCTTGTGTGCTTGCTTTCTGTAGGCTTGCGGATTTTACCAATCTTTAACAATAAGCTATCTCTATAACTGGTGTTCAGGCTTTTGAATAATCTCGAATAAATCCATAATTCTACTAGGAGATTTACCCTGAATTAAATACTCAGTTAACGGGGATACTAATTATTAGAGTCAGATGTACATCCATCTGTACATCCATACAGATTCGATCCCGTGTCACCAAACTTCACAGTCACGGAGGGTACCACTGAGCTAGCTATCCAGGCCACGACTGACCTTCCGTAAGACTGAAATATATTCACAATTGATTGATCACTGAGTGGTAATCAATGTTATGTATGTCAGGCCCTTCTTAGTGCAGATCGAATCCTATCGATCAAGTTACTTAGTAGTAAATCATTTCAAATTGTCAAAATGTATCAATCAGGCTTCAGTGTATCCAATTGTTTAAATTTATCAATATGACAGTGTAATTTCTTTCTTTTTTAATTAATGTTAGGTAGTTAGAAACCATAGATATGAAGATATATTTGATCAATATATATATATATATATTGTCCAATTTCACTTTATTCATCAAGGTATATCATCTGTTCAGAGAGAAATAATGTCTCTCATGATATTCCAGAAACATCTTGCTGACAAGTTCCAAGTAGTATAAGTATCTGTCTTCAGCTACTTACAGATTGTCTTTTTGCAATATGTAAAGGAATACAAAGTTCACTCATTATCAGTAACAATAATATAACCTTAAAAGCATTCCGTTTATCAATGATGGGATACAATTAAGTAATGCTTTTAATTAGCCACCCAGTAATGAACTAACAACTTCTTCTTTTATATGCTTGATTAGATATGTCGTATGGTTTAGATAAAATAGGCTCAATAATGTCTAACCTTTCAGTTGACTTGAAGCTCATATCTTCTACCCCATGTAAGACTATAAGTACACTCTTACGATTATGATTATGATTAGAAGTGTTTTATTATAAAGAATATACTGAACTAATAGGACTTTACCTAATAGCTTGTATAGGTAAATGTACATAATAGATGTATAGTAGTGAAGTAAAATGTGATTAGTTACTGAGCGTAAACAAACAACCATAGTCTACGGACTATTAAATATGTGATTCCCTTTCCTCTTATTGATTCCTATCACTAACTCTCTGTTTTTCTATTCTGGGTCGTGAATCCTGTATCTGACATAACTTAACTAGTCTCTTTATCGTATTAACATTATAGTAATATACATGAGAGTGAGAAAAATATCTTTAAGCAGTCCATTATATCAATATTCATTTGAATACAATATCTAGATCCTTATATGAAGGTAGATAATTTAAAATGAACTTATCAATAATTCAACTAAATAACTGAATTCATACATCAACTGAAGCTAGATCACCATGGAAAACCTGAAAGCACTGGATGAGCGTTTCATCCTAGTATGCGACTCTTCAGCAGTGCCCATCCACGAACGTTCTCCGCGACATTCGAACCCAGGACCTATCATTCTTACTTCAGTCTAGCATCAATTGACTCATGAATTCAATTAGTAAATTACTACAATCTCCACAAAACCCCTCTCTGATTATAATCATCATATGCACACTAGTGACGGTCTTCAAGAAGTATTTCTTGGAGTTCTAGGGTGAAGCAGTGACCTGTAGAGTTCAATCGGGTCTGTTGTGAGATAGTAACTCACTGGCGACAGTAGTGGACTGTGTTGCAGCTTCATGGGTTGGTTAAAGTTAGACGGCTCAGTGGTCAAGGGGTTAAGTGTTCGCGCGCGTGACCTATAGGTCCTGTGTTCGAATCTTGCGATCGGGGTTGTGGGTGTGAACTGCTGAGGAGTCCCATACTATGATGAAGTGGCCGTCCAGTTCTTCCAGGTCTCTCATGATGGTCTAGCTTTAACTGACTTATGAATTCAATTATTTAATTACTACAATCTCTACGAAACCCCTCTCTGATCATAATTCACTTAAAAAAGGACGAAATCAAAGTAAGTTTAAGGTCAGTAATATAGTAACTATGTACAAAAGTCAAATAACTTTCTAATCGATGAAATAGGGAGTTAATCATTTCTAGAGAAATTTCAATAACTTACAGATTAATATTAGCTAGAAAAATAAGGAAAACTTCACTATTCTACTATTCAGGTCAATAAACATAGAATCTTAAGAAATGACATAATGCAATTGAGTAACTAACACAAGATTTGTGTACTCAAACAAGTACAACACATTTTGTTTGAAATCTGGTCATCCTCTGCACTTGTTTAAATCCTATCGGGTACATGAAGGTTTTAACCTGTCATCCAGGAGTTCCATATCTTGATCACTACTTCAAAGCCAAACGACTTTATGATATACCTTTATATACTTCTAATGAATCGAGAATTAGAGAAAGACATAAAAAGAATGAAAACCAGTTGGATAGAACTGAGAAGTACGGCCCAGGACAGAGTGGGTCGGATAATGCTTGTCGGTAGCCTATGCTCCACTTGGAGTAACTAGCGTAAATAAGTAAGTGATGAATCGATTATTGTATGAAGAAACAAACTTCTTTATTTGACGATATCATTATGTTTATTCACTGGTAGCTCTTTTCATAAAATTTAGTCTGACCGAGAGAAATTAGAAGGTTTACCAGTAGCACCATTTATGGATCGTGAAAAAGTCACTAAACCATCAGCACAAATTGGTTTCATCAAATTTGTCCTCATTCCAATGTTTCAAACGGTGGCAAGTGTAAGTGTTTACAACCTTATTTTCGATTATATTTTATGTAAATCGTTCTCATTAATCCGATTAGATTTGTAGAGAAATAAATACAACCAGTGAAACTAGGAAGTACTGAACAGCTTTCTAGTCTTAGTACAGAATTTCTTAGTAGTGTACATCTAGGACCTGCTGAAGATCCAACTCAAAGCCTTCAGGTTACATGACAAGCCTTTGAATTGTAGACCACTAAGTCATCACTGGTGACAATTCCCGCACTAATATGGAATAGGTTACAAGTTTTCCATTTCTTTTACGGTTGTTTAAATCATGTCAATCTATGATCTAAACTGTCAAGTTTAACCATCTCCATAGTATTCCATATATTTAGTTGAATACGCTATACTACTGATTAAAAAATATCATCAAAAGAATTGTTGCATAAATTTTTAAAAACAGACCAGATCATTGTGTGAATTATGTATATACAGTTCATTGCGTAATTGTTTTAAGTAATGTGTTTAATGAGATGATGATTACTACTAATAATGTCCACAATAGACTCAAGGATAAGTTGAATTCATGAGTCTATTAAAGCTAGACAGCCATGGAAAACCTGCAAGCACTAAACGGCCGTTTCGTCCTAGTATAATACCGATAGGTCGTGGAATCGAATCTCGCAAGACGGCATCGTGTATGTACACTGCTAAGGTATCCCATACTAGGATGAAATGGCCGTCCAGTGCTTCCAAGTTTTCCATAGTGGTCTAGCTTCAACTGACTCATGGTCTCAACTAGTGAGATTATTATGTATTTATAGAAATTTTCTTTAGATAAATCGTTATTATAAACCTCAATTTCAAGCGTATCGAATTTGTGTGTTTGAACACTTCAATTGAATAAACGATAATTTATTAATAAGAGAAGTCGAGGGTTCTCTATAAGAAATGGAACAGAATAAAGATATAACTGAATGACAGTTATGAATAGAAGTTTTTAAAATGAAGTTCAAAAGAATCAGTTTTATGAGGATGCAAAATGACTTCAACTTGGGACATAATGAATACAAAAGGTGAATAAATCTCTTTTATACACATTAGTTTCAATGGATCTCAATGGTTTTGGCCATGTAGAAAAGATTTATTCATGTAGTTTTCAATAACTGACACTGGAAACTATACAAGACCTTTCCTCCATACAGGGTTTTCATCTACCAAATGAAAAATACTAACATTATTTACTAACTGTTTAAAGTCTTTTCATCATCAAGAAGCTTTATGTTCTTGTGTATGCAAGGATTATGTCCTTTTTGATGGAGTTTTGTTCTCTTAGCTGGATGGTTCGGCCATGGAGTTTTCATAGTTCTTCTGAACGACATAATCAGGACAAACTTCAAATAGAATCCATCCACCTGAGTTACAAATCTTCTCCACCATCTCAAGGGTTATGCCCTTTGAACACGGCCTATGTACCCAACTCTACAGTAGTTAATTTGATAAATATATATTAATAAACTTATCATCTCTTACTATTGTACCAGTATATGCGTTTTTGAGATGACATCGAACTTAATGATAGTGAACTTAAACTAGTGGAGATTTGTAGCTCAGGTAGACGATATTGATGGAGTTTTGTCCTCTGAGCTGGATGGTTTGGTCATGGAGCTTTCATCGTTCTTCTGAACGACTTCATCAACACAAACTTTAAATAGACGTGAAGCGTTCGAATTTCGCCACGTGTGGTTCACAGCTTGTCCTATGTGCAATCAGGAAAATTATGAACAAACATAAGAACAAAAATCAAACCAATCGGAGATACAACCGAAACAAAGAAGTAAACAATGAAAGGTTCAAGGTCAATAAGAACCAATCAACATCTAGGTGTACAAGACAAGCTGTGAATCACAAGTGGAGAATTTCGTACGCTTCACTTCTACCTGAAGTTTGTGCTGATGATGTCGTTCAGAAGAACGATGAAAGCTCCACAACCAAACCATCCAGTTCAGAGAACAAAACTCCATCAAACTTGGACTTGAACGTTATGTCATAGCTACATCACTTTTAAATTACAGTCTTAAGTCGACAGTTTTCTTATTCAGTTTTCATATACTTATGCATATACGTTTTATTTATTTCGTTTTTATGTATTTACTATTTTGTAATTCACATTCGAATAAAATTTTCATTAAGGTTTATCCAATTATTGATGAACTTATGGTAACTCAATTGAAATCAGCATTAGAACGTTATGAAAAGATGTTGGCTGAAGAAGAAGAAACAAAACGTAACTTACAAATGAATGAAGCAGATTAATACTTTAATAAAAGACATGCTGAACTGATACACACACACACACATGCATACAATCAAGAATTTTATATACGTGAATATAAAGGTGATCATTTTTGGCTTCCATTCTCAACGTAATAAAATAATCATGTTGTCTTTTCCAAATAATTGTCGTGTTTCTATTGAAAAACACTACTTCGATAAACTGTAACTAGTGCACGTGGCTATCAGGACTCAATAGCTGAGTGGACAACGCAAACGTTATTGGGTTCAAGTTCCAGAGTGAAAATTAGCTCCCAGGTGCAGGTACATCCGGCTGATGAGTGTCAAATAGGACGAAACGCACGTCAAACTGGATTCCACTGCTAACCACTATCCATCTTTATTTATAATGCTTGCGAATTAAGGCAATATCGAGGCTATCCGCTTAGGATGTACGGATGCCAACAAGAGACTGATCAATTGTAGTTCTAAACAACAATGGGAAGATACAAGTAAACATTACCAAGTTAATGTAACTAGTGCAGTTCATTTATGTCGGGATAGAGACATGTATCATAGATAAAAATGAATATGGATCACAAAATACAACGAATCAATTAGAGTCGAGAATATTCTATATTGAATAGCCGGTTGTGTCACTAAAATACAAAATAAAAACAATTCGGGGAGGAGAATTTACTTCTCAACAAGATCATTTACTTAAGTTGTACATGCACATCTACAGTTGTTTGGCAAATATATAGGTCTGGAGAAGAATAGAAAAGATTGCATCATAAAGCGATTCAAAACTTCAAATATCAAATATGGTTACGTAATAATCACGGAGTCAGAGAAGAATAGGTGAATGAAAATAATTTATGGGTCAGAATTATGAAAGATAATTGTCCGCTTGATAGATTTGAAGAATCAATGTAAAACACAATGGTCATTATAGTAAGTGAATGATGATCATGAAAAATTGTTAAAGGATAATAATAACTGATTACGATGGAGTTTTTTCCTCTGAGTTGGATAGTTTTATTGTGGAACTTTCATCACTCTTCGGAGCGACATCATCAGCACAAACTTCAGGTAGAAGTCTCCACGAGCAAACAATTCAGCTCAGAGAATAAAACTCAATCAAAATCATGCACCTGAGCTACAAATCTTTTCCACCATCTCATAACTGATTACGTTTTGCAATCAAAAAATATTGCTGAAAACGATGATGCATAAACCTATCACTTTTCAAACGCATCTCATAACATTATCTGATGTTGTTTCTAAAATGAGAATGCATAACAATCACTAGTGCAATACAAGAACACCTGATCAATTCTGGACACGTTGCTTCAAAGAAGTTTTCATCCAGAATAATCTACATAATCCAAAGAGCTGAGTCGAAGAGAGGTTGAATCAAGAACTTATACACTGTTGAGACGTTGACAATCCACCAAATAAAGTCCGAACTCTGCGAGTTAAAACAATATGTGAAGCCTCTCATCATTCCGTTGCCCTAATTCTCTTTTTTAATATGTTTTGGTCTTGTTTTATTAATCGTCTTTAAATTATAAACTGCAATCAGCTATTATTAACCTTTAACAATCATCATGCTCATCATCTAATTACTATAATGACCATTGTGTTTTACATTGATTCTTCATATCTATCAAGCGGACATTTATCTCTCATAATTCTGACCCATAAATTATTTTCATTCACCTATTCTTCTCTGACTCCGTGATTATTACGTAACCATATTTGATATTTGAAGTTTTGAATCGCTTTATGATGCAATCTTTTCTATTCTTCTCCAGACCTATATATTTGCCAAACAACTGTAGATGTGCATGTACAACTTAAGTAAATGATCTTGTTGAGAAGTAAATTCTCCCCCTCGAATCCACCTTATTTTCATTAAATAACCAATAAATTAATTATAAGGTAGAGTGTTTTCAATCAGTTTTGGTAGGTGTTGAGTTCAATCCCTCCAACGTTTCGAGTGTATAGGGAGCTGAGAAGTTCTATTCTAAAATGAAATAGCTTTCTAGTGCTTCTTAAATGTACATTGGTCGACTAACTAAACATCGATCACTGATATTAACCACAAAAGTTAAGACGTTTGCGCGGTGGATATAAGTTATGGCGTTCTTAGTTAAAGGTACTGGGTTAGAGTCTCCATGTGAACATCATTAGTGCGATGCAGACACGTCGAGATGAAGCTTATCAAATGAATCGTGAGCCGTGGCTCCCACTTCTAGCCACTGTCCAACATTATCAAAATACTTGTGGCTAGCTGGTTACAGCGAGATGATTCCCTCCGAATGTATGTATGAAAAAAGTGACTGACAAACTACAATCCTTAACAGTGACAACGGTAAAATACAAACTCCTACAAGCAAAATTTATTAAGAAAGACTACAATACTGTCAACTTAAGAACATTTACCCTGATGGCCTCGAATGCTAGCTAACAATAAAAGCTTTCATCTATTTTAAATGCATCGTCAACATCATCCTCATGTTGTTTCTGTTAAGTAGTTGAGAAAATATTAAATCAATGAACATGTTTCAGTGATTTTATAATTTACAGTTCAAAATATTTGTTGAAAGTTTTGACTACTTAATTAGTCATTAAAGTAACATAAATTGAAATGTTAAAAATGTACGGGACAGTTAAAAACCTCGTAATATTGGTCGAAATGCCATTGAAGCAATTCCACACATATTCCAATTGTTACGAAGTACTTTCACGTAACCTTGTTCACCCCAATTTGTCCCCCAATTATTTTGTAATATCCAGTAATCGTTACCATCATTATCATAACCGTAACCAACAAGTAACATACTTTGATTTAAATTATAATGTGTACATGTATCAGATTGATATATTCCTGACCTGAAAAAAAAAGTGGATTACAAACTGCACTTATTGTGAAATGAATTCATTTCCGAATCGTAGTTTTCTTAAATTAATACATTCAGATCAGGTTAAGAGGAATAAATTTAGACACTGCCAGAATAAAGTTATTTAATTGAATCCCGGTTCAGTGATCTGGAATTTGATCGTTCATGTATGAAGCTGAAAGTCCTGGATTCGGTCCCTGGTCACAAGATCGTGGGCGAAACGGCTTTCCAGTACTTCCATACCTTTTATGGTGATCTAACCAAGATTAATCAAGGGATTCAAAACCCATGAAAATTGTACCATCTCCACCAAACACTACACTGAGAATGAATTAAACTTTCAATTAGTTAGATAATTTATTTGCCATCAAGAATTGACTGAGATCAGATATGTAAAATTCCGAAGCTAAATTCAGTGTTCTAAAACCTAGTGGGTCCACAAATGTTCTAGGATGAAGACTTCGAATCTACTTGTAAACAAGTGATAAATGTTATAAAGTGTATCCCCTAGTCAATAAGCAAACATAACAATATTTTAGCTTCATAATGAATGTGTTCATATTTCCAAAATCAATTAATTAACAAAACTGTTTGTTATGTTCGTTAACTTGAATGCTACTACTGATTCGTCTTACTCGGAACGGAAAGAAGAATCAAGAATTCAGAGACTCGATAGGCTATACTGGTCCGTTGTCCCCGACTCAGCTAACTCGATCCAGAAGTCTTGGTAAGATGTAGAAAGTGTATTCTACAGACAACCAGAAGATACCAGGACCCTCAAGCACACAAATCAAGCGTATTTATACAATATATATATGGTCGACATTGCCATGGAAGTTTTTAAACATTTAATCGATAAGTTCGTCAACCGATTTCGTGCGTGGGTGGTAAGAAAAGCCCATGCATACATCTGTATACAAGCTCCATAAAGATAAAATTACAAAATATGAGTTTTGGGGATCTAACGTCCCCAACACTGTCTAAAAGAAAAGTTATCATTCACACCAATCAAAGATACCTATCTTACTAAGATTAAACAATTTTCCACTACATTCTACTTTTCAATGTTTATCTATCTAAAATTCTGTTCATGTTACGAACACTCTTCGAAACTATGTAATTATAACGATTCTTTCATGCACATGGTCGCCGGAAATCACCAAACTGCATCACTAGGCAAGCACTAACTTGGAATCCTGAAGGGAACTGGAAAAGAGGAAGGCCAAAGAACACATTACGTCGGGATGTAGAAACAGATATGGAAAGGATGAATAACAACTGGAAATGGCTGGAAAGGATTGCCCAAGACAGGGTTGAATGGAGAGTACTGGTGGGTGACCTATGCTCCTCTACAAAGAGTAACAGGCATAAGTAATTAAGTTTCATGCACATTATTTCCAATACAACAGATAAATCTCCTTTGTGAATTTCAATCTCTCTCTGTCCCTCACACACACACGCACACACACTTACGTTGTGATGAATATACTTACTTATAATGTAAAAACTTTTCATCAATATTCATGGAAATTACATATGGACCTTCATTGTACAGTGCCCATTTCAAAATTGTTTCATAACCATGTCGATGAAATTTATAACCAATCGATTGAACAATCACATCTGAACTATTTGCTAGACAATCTTGATCCTTGAAAAAGAAACGTTTACAAAAAAACACAATGCAAAACAAACAAACAGATCAGTTACAATGAAAATCATAATCATATTTACAGAGTTAACAATAAATTGATTAGATATTCTTCTTACTGGATTATTTAAAGGATGAAATATCAATGAATGAAGATTAAATTAAATTCACTTGGTGTTGTTCCCTTGTATCTTCCCATTGTTGTATAGAACTGCAATTGATCAGTCTCTTGTTGGTATATGTGCATCCTGAGCGGATAGCCTCAATATTGCATTAATTCACAAGCATTATAAACAAAGATGGATAGTGGTTAGCATTGGAATCCAGTTTGACGTGAGTTTCGTTCTATTTGAGACTCACCAGTCAGATGTACCTGCATCTGAGAGTTGATGTTCACTATGGGACTCAAACACAGAACCTCTCGCTTACACAAGCAAGTGGTCATCAGGACTCACTATCTAGGTGGATAACTTAATGGTGTTTGAAGTGAGCAGTACTGGGTTCGAGTCCTGGAATGAACATCAACTATGAGATGCAGGTACATCCGACTGATGAGTCCTAAATAAGACGAAACGCACATCAAACAGGATTCCACTACTAACCACTATCCATTTTTGCTTA